GATTTAGTCTAGAAAAGAACTATTCTTTTTAGGAGCTAGGTAGTCTATATTCTCTTATTATTATTTTTTTTATTTCTACCCTTCTCTTCTTCTACTATAGTTATCTTTCTACTATAGTTATCTTTCTACTATAGTTTTTCTTTAGAAGCTTTACTATCTTATACTATACTTATTTCTATATAGATATTAATAACTATTCTTAGTTTATTAGAATTCTTATTAAATCTATAGATATATTTATTATCCTAGTACCTACTATAGTTAATATTTAAGTAAGTTTACTATCTATCCTAGGTGTATATTCTATTATAGAGCGTACTAGTTACTATATTTTATATATTATTTATACTTAGAAAGTATAGTCTTTCTTACTTATCCTATAAATATTTATTGCATTTATTAATTAGGTAATTATACTATTACTAGTAGTATTATTACTTATACTATAATTATTTACCTCTATATATCTCCCTAGCTCTATAGTAGATTAGGTACTAGTCGTATTTATATATAGTCTATTAGATATTTAAGTGCTATAGGTTTTAGTGGTCTAGGTAGTACTTCTAAGAATAATCTAGGTCTTTATTATAAAAATCTTAGTTAGGGTCTTATTATATATATCTATAATCTACCTATTATCTATCTTCTTTTATAACTATTTTTAGTTAGCGTTAGTTATAAGCTTCTAGTAGTATAGAGAATAATAGTAAGATTATTATAGATAATAATAATATATCTCTATTTTATAGTTAGATTAGTAGTTTATCTAAGTATTCCTATATATTTATTTTATTAGTAAAGATTACTTCTTTACCTTTAAACTATAGGTAAGGTATTAGTATTTATTTAACTTCCTTATCTATTCTTTTAGATTATTCTTCTTCTATATCCTTATAAAGTTATAAATTAGTTAATAGTTCTAATCTAGATTTATTATTAAGTATAAGGTTACTAATAGTATTTATAATAGTCTATTCTTTATCCTTAATTTCCTTTATTAGGGTAGTAAGTACGTTTAACTATCTAGTAACCTTATTCTTAGATCTATAGTTCCTAGTAATATAGCCTAGTTTACTATATATAAAATATATATAAGTCTTAGTTCCTTATAGTTAGGTTCTATCTAAGATATATATATTAGGCTTATAAAAGCCTAGTTCTTTTCCTTTTTCTTTACCTAAGTAGTTAAATTAGATATCTTCTATTAGCTAGTATCTATAGGAGTCTTATAATATATATTAAGGTTCTTTTAGTAGCACCCTATAAACTATAGGTACTAGTTATCTAAAACTAATATTTCTTAGGTTATATTAAAATTCCTATTATAGTATAAACTATTCTTTATTAATTCTAATTAATTTATTATATAATTTATTAAGGGGTCTAATAATTCCTCTACTACGTAGAAGTTCTTCTTATAGAGGTTTTTTAAGACCTTATTTATATATTATTATTAGTAACTTATTATTCTAGTTAAGTTATATAGTGTTCTTATAGAACTCCACTATATACTTAGCTACTAATTATTATTATAGAATAGTTTAGATATTTTATGCTATAATAGGTACCTTATTAGTAATTCTAAATATCTACTTAAGGTATTTCTTAAAGTTAGTATAATTTTTAATAATATTAACTATGTCTATATAGTTATCTATATATTTCTTATCTTTATTATTATAGTCTATTTCTAGATACTTAGTTATATAGGGTTAAATCTATTCTCTAGCATTACCTTATATATAAGTAGCTATAAAGATAACCTTTTATTTATCTTTAGGTTATTTATTAAGTTTAAAGAAATAGAGGTCTAACTAAAGAAGCTAGATATTAGTATACTTTCTATTACTATAATATAAATTAGGTTTATATACTTTACTTTTAGAGTTACCTATTAGAGTAATAGTAATATTATCTAAAGCTATAGAAGAAGTAGGAGTTCTTATAGTTATATTAGGATATTTAAGATATTAAATCTATAAAGGGTAGCTAGTCCTAGGTAGGTTAAGGTTAGTTCTTAGGTAAGACTTACTAAAAGAGGAGAAAGGAATTTTATTAATATAGAAGTATCTTATAAAGTGTAATAAGTTAATAAGGGAGGCCTAAGTAAATCTAAATAATAGATTAAAACTTAGGTTAAATATAAGTATAAGGTCTTTATACTTACGCTCCTATATACTTAGCTTAGGTAGTAGTTAACTATTACTTATTAACTATTACTTATTAACTATTAGTTACATATCTAATAGTTAACTATTACTTATTAACTATTAGTTACATATCTAATAGTTAACTATTACTTATTAACTATTAGTTACATATCTAATAGTTAACTATTACTTATTAATTATTAGTTACGTAATATCCTTTTAGTGCCTAGTAGTATAGTTAAAACGTATACTCTATCTAGGTAAGCTAATAGTAAGTATTATTATAATATAAAATAAGGTCCTAACCCTCGCTTAGGTCTAGATTATAATATTAGTCTACTATTAGCTATATAAGTTACTACTCTAAAAGCTTAAGTAATAGAGGGATATATATTAGTAAAAGGTTTATTAAAGATAAGTATATAGAAATTAAGGAGATAATAGCTAAAGAAAGTAGTTTTATACCTACCTTAGGTAGAAATTAATAGATAACTAGACTACTAGATTATAGTTATACTAGGGGCTTAAGTATTAAAAGAAATAGTTTTTAATAAGGTAACTAAAGATCTATAATTAGTACTCTTAGTTAGAAATTACTTAATAGAGTTTAGGAGCTCTTAATCTTCTAAAATATTAATAAAGTAGTTAGTTTAATTATATAATAGCTTAGATAATTTTAAACCTATAGAGGCCTTAGGGATAGTTACTTTCTAAATAGAGTAAGTAAGATTAGTAAGAAGGAAATAAACTAATAAAGCCTTAACCTTTTTAGAAAATAGAGTAAAGAGCTTTTTAGTAGCTAGATACTTAGTAATAGAAAGCTTACTACTATTAGGTAAGTATAAAATAGTTATCTCTACTTTAGTAGAGATCTCTACCTTAGCCTACTAATTTATAAGATACTTTTACTAATAGAAAACTCTCTTAGTAATTAAAGAGGTAACGTAATTAGTAATAATAAAAGAAATATTTATATATTAAGTAGCTACTAATAGTATAGACTATATATAGTAGGTTCTATTTTTTATTTTACTTAGTCTACTATAGTACTTATTAACTTATCCCTAAATAAGGCCCTAAAGATTTATAACCTTATTCTTTAGCTTAGGTTCCTATTTAAATAATTAGTAAAACTAAGAAAAAGTAATAAAAATTTATAACTTACTTCTAGTAAGGTTCTTTTAAGCTTAATATATATATTAATTAGCTTAATAAGCTCTAGTAGGCTAAAAGAATTATATTAGTAATAAAAATATTAAAAAATTAGTTAAGTAAAACTTATAAAGGGAAGTATAAGTATCTACTTATATAATAATAATAGTAATTTTCCCTTAGGTAAGTAAAATAATCTTTACTCTTACCTTTAATAATTAATCTAAAATAGGGAAATAAATATTAGCTAAAAGAGCTCTTTTAGATTAAGAGTAGTAAAATATCTTTAGCTTTAATAGGGTATTTATAATACTTATAGGAGTAGAACTACCCTTACTTATAATACCTTTATAATTATTTTATTCTAAATCCTTATTTTCTTACTTTTTAATTATTTTAATAGTTCTACCCTTCTTTATAATTTTCTTTAGGCGTCTAGGTCTATACTTAGCTAGGGTACTACTTAGAGATATAGTATACTAAAAAAATTTAGTATTAGAGCTTTTCTTAGTTATAGAGTTCTAGACACTCTAGATTTTCTTCTTATTAGTAGAAGTAGGAGTTTTTAAGCTCTTTTTATATATATTAACTATCTTAGCTTATCTATTTAGAAGATTTAGATTAGTAAATATAGTATAGCCTTTAGTTAGTAAAATTTAGAAAGTAAGTTTTTACTTTTTTTTAAAATAGGTATATTACTTCTAAATCTAGGCCTTATAATTAATAAGGAGAGACCTATAGGAAGGGGATAAAACTATTAATCTAATTAAAAGAGAGAGTAGAAGTAGGAAAATCTCTTAGTAAAAAATTTATTTATTATTTTTAGACTAGTATACTTCTACCTTTACTTACTAAGTAAGTAAAGTATATTTATTTACCTTATTACTTAATAACTAAGTAATTATTATCTCTTACCTTATAGTTACTTAGCTAATAAGATTATAGTAGAATAAAATACTATTTTAAGTAAATACTATACTACTTCTATAACTAAGCTAATAAGTATTTTCTACTAAAACTTTAAGTAGATAAGTAGCACCTAATAGTATATACTTATTTAGGGGGTATATTAAAGTAAGAGCCTTAGAGATAACTAAGCCTTACTTAAGTAATTATAGAATAAAGGCTAGCTAAAGTAGTATATATATAATTAATTAAATTAATTATATAAGAATTCTTAGTATAAGTAAGGGCCTATTTTAGGTTATAAGCACTTATATATACTACTAATCTAGTATAATCTCCTATATAGTAATTCTAATTAATTAGCTCGTTTACTAAGCTTATTTTCCTTAATATATAATCTAACCCTAATCCTAACCTAGTATCTATATAACCTATAACCTAACCTAGACCTATATCTAGTAATTCTAACCTAGCTAACTAGCGTAGTTCTACTATAATAAGCTTATTCCTCACTTTATTTATTATAAGTAATAATAATTAATAGTAACTATAAGAGCCATTTTCTTAAGTATTATAGTAATGGTTCTAACTATTCCAACGCTAATGAATTTTCCGCTAACACATACACGAAGCCAGGCGCCCACCCCACGCTTAAAGGCCTCCTAGGAAACAAACGGATATCGTTTAAGGGGAAGAAGTAGGAGCAGCAGCCTTTCGGCGAAAGATATGCACTCTCTCTTAGTTACAACCTAAGCATGCTCATTGGCCCGGAGCGCAACCGCATTTGTTGCACTAGGTCTTGGTGGACTCGGCAATCTGATGTTGGGTAGCTTCTTCGGAAGATGACTTGTCGCCTACTTCGCGAGTCAGTAAAATGTTCTCTAGGAGACAGACAATATCAGGTGGATACATACCCCCATTACCGCCCTGCTTCTTCAGGTCGGCCAGGTGGCGGGCCTCGTTGTGAACGTCAAGCACAGTCTTGTTGCCCGTCTCGTAAAACTGCCTCAGCTTCTGCCCGGTAGGTGTGCCAGCAGCTTTATCGAAGTACGAGGTGAGCCCACGCCAGCCGGCGGCGACCTTGTCCGAAACACCAAGCTTCGTGTCAACAGCCTGCGCCTTCTGCGTGGCCTGGAAACGCTGTTCGAAATTGGAGAGAACATTAGTGAAGCGCGTGCTGATGCCGTGCTGCTTGTCCAATGCGAGCGCCTGCTCGATTGCCTTGTCTGAGATGGTGTAGCCGTGCGCGAGGTACTCGGCGACGATGCGGGCGCGGGGCTTCTCCTCCTGCTCGATGTGGTGGTCGCCATCCTTAGCCTCCTCGGCCGACGCGGCCTTGTCACCAGCGAGCTCGTCGATGGACTTGGAGGCGGTGACATGCACCGAGTTGGGCCCTAGCTGGGTGTTATCCAGTAAAAGGGCTGTCTTCGCGGCGGCGGCCTTCTCGAAGGTGACGGTGGCGGACTGTGAGTTCTCGTCGGTGGGCTTCACTGAGATGTCCGAGATCTTGCCGCAGAAGCTAAAGAACGATTTGATCTCATCCTGCGTCGTCTTCGTAGAAATGTTATCAACGTGTACAGTCGACATATTTGCGGTATGTGGTGGATTTCGTTTGTAAGGAGTTGGTCACGATCAAACAAGATGTGGTGTGTAGAAGCGTCTGCTAAACAGAGTGTGTCGTGTAGTTGAAGAGAAAGGGCGAGCCGAGGGGGGCTTATAAGTGTCGTAACCAGTGCCAACAAGCAGGAGGGGCGGAGAGGGGACGCGTTCGATGACGTAGATGTGGCTGTTGTCCTGTGGCTGAGTACCGCGTAGCGAACCTTTCAGCGTGGGCGTGAGACTTTGCTATTCACACGCAAAACATGTGTTCCACATTGAACAACAATTTCGGTAGGCATCGTGGAAAAGGTGATGGCGAAGCAGGACGCGTGTAATGGCAGGGGAAGGAGCATCTTCAGTACCACAACGCTCTCTACTTCAGGATAAGCAGACATCAAGGTATACGTGCAGAGCGTTGGAAGTGCCTTCAACCAAGCCATCAAGATAAAGTACGTCTATCGTTTCCACCCTGAAATTGCATCGTCCACCTCCTTCCGGTAGCGCTGTTGGCTTTCGCACTGTTCCAGAAACACCTTGTACTTCGCCTGTAACAACCCTTTCAAAGCCTTATCTGTCGACGGCTTGACCATCTTGCCCGCCTTGCTTAACCGATCCATGATGTCCCACAACGGTTCACTCTTTCCCTCGCCATCGGTGCTTGCAGCTTTCGCCCCGAGCATAGCGGCACCGTGAACAACTGCTGCGTGCACGTATCGTGGTATCAAGACCGGCATATCGCACGCCGCAGCAATGAGCTCCATGAGTATATCGTTCTGGCATTGCGATCCTGACATGAAGATCGAGGAGATGACATGGCCGGATTCGTTCATGGCGGAGATGATCTGGTGCGTCTGCAATGCAATGAATTCCATCGTTGCATAGTAGTACAGTGCGAGTCCATCCAAGCTCTTGTCAGAACTTAGGCCGATGACTGAGCCTTTCATGTTCGGGTCTGCGATAGGGGAACGATTGCCGAAAAGATCGCCGTAGAGGAAAAAATGGCGGCCTAGCCAGGAGGTGTGTGGTGCGTCCTCTTTCTCGGCCAGCTCTCGTAGATGTTGGTTCAAGTAGTCGTATATGTTACGATTCAGGGTCTCGGCTACTGTAGTGGCCTCTTGATACGCAGGATGCGTCTCAATGACGTGCTTCAATAGCTCCCCAGTAGCGCTCTGTCCGCCCTCAGCCATCCAGAAATCAGGAAGCAGGACATCGCGATAAGGACCCCAGACACCGTTTACGAACACAGGGTCGCGTGACATGGCAAGATGACAGGTCGATGTTCCAGCGACGGCAGCGAGGCGAGTGAAAGCCTGTGAGACATCGTTCTTAGGTGCGTCCATATCCAAGGTGCCTTCGTCAAGTTTGACCTTGGCACCGACAGTGCCAATCCAACCAGCATAAGCATCGATGACACCACTGCCAACAGCGATGCCTGGTTGCAAGCCCATGTCAGCTGCTGCTTTCTCACTCAATGTGCCGACAAGTTCACCCGCGGTAAGGTAGCGACCGTTCTGTAAGGTGTCAGCCAGCGCGTTGTTCATGGCAGGATGAACATCACCACATTGTCAACGCCACCCATCCGCTTGAAGTTGTCCTCGCACAAATCTTGCAGTCCAATCTCCGTGAGAAAGTCCTCTTGCCAACCCTTGACGCTTCCGTCCACGCCTACAGGCACGAACCCCTGCTTGCAAACTACGCTACAGTAGCTTCGTGTCTCATTGCCAGTGGCGATATGTGTAAGTGCATCTGCCAAGTCATAGAATTTGCAGCGGTCGAAAAGCTCCTTCGGCATGTTGTTCTTCAGCCAGAGTACCTTTGGTATTTCCATTTCAATGGACATCTTCCCGCCCACATAACGAAGCAAATTGTGGTTGGTAGCATTGATCTTGTGTGTCTCTTGAACTGGCCGGTGGTCCAACCACAGGATGACATTACGATCATTGCCGTCCTTGTTATCGAAATCCGGCCCGGTCACGGACACAGGTTCGTCGGTATCGTGGGAGAAAACAGAGAGGGAGCAAGTAGCGTCGAAACCAATGCCGCGAACAGAGGTCCTGTCGATACCGTGTTGATCTATAGCGCGCCTGACTGAAGAGCATATGCAGCGCCAGATGTCTGTCGTTGATTGTTCCTGATACGGTCAGGGCAACTGTACCCAGGCTTGCTAGCTGTGCCGCATGTACATACATAGTATCCCGTTTGGGGCTGCCAAAGAGCGATGTTCTCCGAGGCTAATCCCACTATGTCGCCCTGATCGTTCATAATGCAAGCTCGGGCACTGCCCGTACCCACATCGATACCGATGTAATGCTCCACATGTGGACGTATCTCGTCGCGTGCGAAGTTGGCAGTCATGATTCAATTCGCGGAAGGTAGAGACAATTAAGTTACAAGATTGCAAGGCAAGAATTGAGAATTACAGCTAGCAGAGTGGAAGGGCGGGAAAGTTGAAAATAAGTGTTGAGAGGACAACAGAGCTCCGCTGCGGGATGAGCGCATGCAACCCCTCGAAAGCTCCTAGTATAGTGGGGGCGGGGCAAACACTACATACTGTGCTGTGGAGAACCAATTGATGACAGGCGGCGCATGTTATGCCAGCACCACTTCCTAGTTGGTCTGTGAGCTGTCTGTTGGGGCTTGACACCTGTGGAGATCGTGAGCCCTGGCCCCACTCTTCCGAGGATCCCGCCTAATGTTGGCTTGTTCGCGCTGACAAGTCGACACGCCACCAAAGACAGTTCCGCGGGTGCTCGGAGTACTTCCCGGACTGCGGCGGCACGTGCACACTAGGAAAAACAATCCGCCGACCGCAGCAAGCAAGCACCGGCAGCTGTGAGGTGCCAGTCCAACACGCAGTCACGGCAGCAACCAGACAATTGTGTGCGCAATGCTGCTCTCCAAGCTCATCCTGCTGCCCGCGGCGGTCGCGTCCTCCGTCACAGTCTACATGCACTCGGTGCCGTCCACGTCTTCCCCGCAAACCGCCGTCATCCCCTCGCCCATTCCACTTGTCCAGATATCGTACGATGCCGACCAAACCACTGGCACTATAGTCTCTTACACGCCGCCGCAAGGCTCCTACGCTCCAGATCATCTGTTGCGCATAGGCCTCCACGGTAACAAAGAAGGCACTTGGATGGGCATCCTTGCATCAGCAGCGAGCTTCGCGGAGGTGTACACGAAGAAGTTTGTGGTACACCTTGACGAGAAGGGAGAGCCATACCATGTTGGATTCAGCACGAGCGATAAAGGAGTGGGAGAGGAGCTGGAAGTTCTGGTCGTCAGAAAGGAGGCTGGACCGAAGCCGGTGCTGAACAAACCGGTTGTTCTTAATGCGGACGGCAGGATCGACTCGAAAGAGCCAGAGAAGTCGTTCTTGCAGAAGTAAGTATCGCAATACTTGCGTTTCGAGCATCTTTAGCTAATGATGTGCACAGATACTGGTGGATGATTGCGATATTCCTTGTCGTGCAATTGGTCGCAGGCGGGGGAAAGGAGTGATCGTTAGACAAGCCGCATACAAAGCATCGCTTGGAAGTGCAGCAGCGCCCGTCGATGCGCATACTGAGTCGCTTGCGAAGAATGCCATCTACTGATCACGAGGCGATGGTTCTCTTCGAGTTGAATGCTTAGCCTCCCCTGCTCCGAGATGCCCAAGAACGTAGAGTTCGATATGCTGCCGAGAAAAGCAGATGCGCAGCCTCGAGACATGTTAATCAAGGCGAATGGGGAACCAAATTCAATACATTTGCCTCTCCACCGAAAACTAGAATACCGAACATTCATGTTACTTCCGACTACTGTCATCACTACGCCGGGCTATGCATAGAAATCGTAAAGCTGGGCCGCCTTGAGATGACCAGTGTCCGCACCATCACCAATTACCTCGTACGTCTTGCGGGTGTAGCGGAGGTAATGGTCCTTGAGAGGGTATCAATCGTAAGGAACGTCAAGGTAGAGTGTATCCCTTTCCATAGTCCCCGTGTCCATAATTTGCGTACTTCGTGCTTTTACGCATAAAAGCAACACCAAGCTTTTGGGGCAGTGCTTGGGGCCTAGTACCGCCTACGAGGTCCTCGTGGTGGGTTGCCTCGGTCGTTGAATCCGAATCGACCATCCTGGAAGCTGCCAGCGCGAGCTCCACCGTTAGTATCGATGTCCATGTCGTCGTAAGACGATTGAGCTAGGCGGCCGGACGGCCGTGTGTGAAGCGCAGCCGAGCTGGGCCCACCCTCCTTCATGTATACGTAGAGCGTCTTGCCATCCGCCTAATGTCGAAAGTTGTCAGCTACGTGCTCGTGGTGCACCATACGGTAGTAAAGCTTGGATTGATCTCAGGAAGGAGGATGTCGTGGAAACCAGGTCAAGGAACAATGCGTGGAAAGAAAGAGGAGAATACGTCTGCACCCACCTTTTTACCGTTGAAGGTCGCAATGACGTTCTCAGCACCGTCTTTCGTGGCGAAGGTGAGCTCTGCCATGACGGTTGGCTTGGCAACGACCACCCTGCATTCGAGAAGCTCTCCGCCGACCTGACCCATGACCTGCTCGATATCTGCCGCCGTAGTGCCTATGGCGAAGTTGGAGGCCATGACAGTGTGCGGACCGCTGCTGGTCGCAGCACCTCTTATGTTAAGGCCAAGGTCTGCTGGTCCGTTTCGTGCATTCCTGGTGGACGTGTCCCTGTTCAGCACGGAGGCGAATTTGTCGAGTGTTCGCGCGTTGCGGTCGGTCTGTGAAGTAGACACGGTGCGATTGGGACCCTTCCTCGAGGGACCGTTCGGGTTGTTGAGCTTGTGGAGATCGTGCTGCCACTTTCCATCGATGTTGGTCGCGGGTTTCGCTGAAGAAGGTCGTTGTTTCTGAACACCACTCATGCGACTTAGCAAAGTGGGTTTCTGCGAGGTTGCACGTCCGTTGAGTGAACCTGCGCCGGATCCAGACCCGTTGGCCTTGCGCCCACGGCTTCCGAGGAAGTGCTGCGCCAGTGCTTCGTTTCTCTTTTTCTCGCGCGCTTCTTTTACGAAGTCGGCGAACGAAGAATTCTGGGCCATGGTCGCGGGCGATCCAGTTGCGTTGTGAGGATTCGGCAGGCTGAAGTTGATTGTAGCTTTCGCCAGGGAGAAGATGCGCGTCTTCATGCACTGACCACCGCTTCTTAGCCTCGTCGGCGGTCGGGGAAACCCATGCCGTGGAAAACTTCCATTAAGTTCGCGCCGCGACCTGCTTTGCTCTTCTCCCACACAGCTCAGCTTTCGGTAAGTCCACTCCACGCTTTTCTTTCTTCTACATGATGAACATTCGTGTCGCCCCTATCATACATACGATGGTGATTGACCCCCAAGCCAAACGGGATTTCTGATGCCGCAACCCTACAAGTTCCTCTTTCGTTCCATGTCTAGTGTACGACGCTGACGTTTTAGAGTTTCAGAGCATGGCCAGTAGCCTTCAGTAGCCGCGGTAATAGCCCGAAGACACGACGAATATGCATTCTGCGCCGTATACAGCTGCTATGCACAACAGTCGCGCCTCGCCATTGGACCGATAGTCCACAACGCACAGTGTAACTGCGAAGTGAACTTGAGGGCAACTGTCGGAACAAGATGTATGCGGCGGCAGTCGAAAGCCACGTTCATCGCGCATGTTGAACCCAAGCCGACAGAAGTAGTCCGGTATTTCACGTAAGCTCATTTCTAATTCCACGCACCGCTTTTCATGATGAGCAACATATGTACTATCAAATACCGACTTACCCTGGGGATCAAAATATGGTTCGATTACCTGAGAGCTTCATTCACTTCATCCGTGCCACTGCCTTAACTTCTGTTATCACCGCTAATCTTTCAAGTTGTAGTTGACTTTGACATTGACTGCGCGAAAGTTTTGGACTTTGCACATATATCGGCCATGGTAAGTCGCTATTCGTCCCTCCCGCCGCGCAATGATGAATCCATTTCCATGCTAGCACTGAAGGGGCAACCCTGATGCTGGATCAAACAATTACTTTTTATCTTTCGACTGACTGCCATGCCTCCCACTCTTTGAGTACGCTTTTTCTCTAGAGTACAGGGCTGACTCTGAACACAGAACGCACATTAACGGATCACTCGCCTCGGTGACATCGTGATGACTGTACAATGTCTTTGAGCTGCAATGCCTGCTACACAAGTTGCAACTCAATGCGACTATGTAATACAAATATCTCATCTGTCTCGCCAAGGCATTCTCATACCTCACATGGAAGGTGCTGGGCAGGTAGCTCGCTGCAGTCACAAAGCTTGATTCTGTAGAGATGATCTCAATTCCCGAGTTCGTTGAGTTCTTATCATTGATGTGTCACAGTTGGAAGCATGTGCCTTGAATGATCTATTGAAAACTACATATAGGGTGGGGACCGGTCACTGCGTCCACTTGTGGTTGCTAGCCTAACACGACGTGGATGTACAGTGCTATTACTTAGGGGCCACAAGTTCGAAGGAGGCACTGTAATCATAAAGGCCAATATAGCCCACATGTGCAGAGTGTACGGTGTCATATCAGCTTTGTCATTGAGAGACTGAATGCTGACAAGCCCTCGTCCTCTGATTGCAGCTTGTGCGGCTATTCTAACCACCTGGGCAATATCTGAAGCACGCGATTTCGGCAAAATTCGGAGCCGACCGCACCAGGAGATCTGATAAGCGCGTCCCCACCCAACCTTGATTCACCGCAACTTGCACTTCAACTCTCCACGGGAAGTTACAGCAGATGGCACAATCAGGTGAGATGGCAGCCACAGCTGAGGAGCCTGCAACTGCTCCCATGGACGCTGCGCCTCTGCCCTTGGGAAAGCAGCCTGATGCACCAGACAGCGCCTCTACGCCCCGAGATCCTGTGACCGAGAAGTCTCTCACAGGACCCATCGGGAAACATCAGAGCGACAACCTCTTAGGAAAGAATACAGATGATCCTGCCGCCACTGCCGCCGCTGTGCCGGCCCGCGTCCCAGGCCCCGGAGCTGCCACAGAACAGATCAAGCCCTCCTCCACCGCTCCCGCGTGGCCACAAACCCCTGCCGAACACCCTCTCACCAAGTTCTTCAGTCAGATAGAAGTGTTGACCAAGGAAGCTGCTCATGACGAAGTATATGGAATTACCCTCTCGCCTAAGAACGAATTCCACACCAAGCTCATTCTGCAAAAGTACCTGCGCGCCAACCAGAATGACCTTGACAAGGCGAAGCAACAGCTTCTCGACACACTCAAATGGCGGAAAGATTTCGACCCAGTAAAAGCTGCCGGTGAGACGTTCGAAAGGAGCCGATTTGAGGGACTGGGTTGGCTCCTGCAGGTGGAAGATGTACCAGAAAGTGCGAATAAGAGAGATGTGGTCACCTTTAACATCTATGGTGCGGTGAAAGACAACAAAAAGACGTTTGGCGACATCGATGCCTTCCTCCGCTGGCGCGTTGGCCTTATGGAGCGTTCAGTCCAACACCTGAACCTCTCATTAGCTACGCAACCTATCCCCGACTTTGGTGCCGGTCCCGACCCCTATCAAGGCATTCAAGTCCACGACTACCTGCAAGTGTCCTTCATCCCCATGAGGCGAGATCGGCTTGTCAACGCTGCAATCAAGAAGACCATTGACGTCCTTGGCCGCTACTATCCCGAAATGTTGTCCCGCAAATACTTCGTTAACGTGCCGCTCGTCATGGGCTGGGTATACCAGGCAGCCAAGATGATCGTGAGCAAAGAGACGGCGAAGAAGTTCACTGTACTGAGTTATGGAAGTGCGTTGGCAGGCGAGCTAGGAAAGGGGCTGCCGAAGGAGTATGGCGGTGAGAAAGGAGCATTGAGCGAGGTTGGAGAGCCGATGAAGCTGGAGGATTGAGGTGGACGCGCAATCGAGGGCGAAATTGATCCGTCTCGATCGCTGCCGAGGCAACGAGTAATGGAGGCTGAGAATTGTAATGGCTGGAGACTTGGCTGCTTTAGCAGCGTTGATACTTGCACGTCGCTGTATATATACCCATTCATTTAATATGAGCATGGCACATCTCGAGGGCTTTGGCGAGAGCGTCTTAATGCTGCAACATTTCCTCCAATCCTAGGTAACAACGGCAGCTATTGTATTGGTCCTTCTCACTCAAATGCGAGACAGCTCTCGAAGGACACAATTATCGTCACGCAGTGAAATTAAGGGTCACAATAAAATTGACATTGTATTGTCGCCAAAAATTGAACAAGAATGAAATCGCGAATCGCAATACAATGGGTCATGTACAATACCTTCATGTAGTCCAATACCGCCCCACGTGTCGTCTACAATTTGGCTTTTTCAGAGTAATTCGCTGCAGCCTTCTCCTTGGGACCGATCAGCGGGTCATATACCTTCCGGCCCAGGGTGTCTTCTGGGACGGTGGTCGTGTGTGCACTCAGGCTGCGCGCATCGACAAGCGTAGGGTTCAAATCTGCTACCTTTGACGCTCCGATGAGTCGCATGTTCATCTCCATTTCGTCCTTGAGCAATTGCATCGCGCGATCTACACCGGGCAGACCATATGCTGACATGGCATAGAGGAATGGCCGACCGATACCGACGCCGGTTGCGCCCAAGCAGAGCGCCTTTACGATGTCAGATGCTCGTCGAATACCGCCGTCGATAAACACTTCAATCTTATCTTGCATGCCACGCTCACGAAGCGCGGGCATCACTTCAGCCAGAATCTCTACGCCAGAAGGCGCAGTGTCTAGCTGGCGACCTCCGTGGTTGGATAGGACGACACCCTGAACACCAGCCTCAACAGCCTTGATAACATCTTCGACGCGCTGAACGCCCTTCAGGATTATGGGCATCTTTGTAATCGACTGAAACCAGGGGATGTCCTTCCAGCTGAGGCTCGGGTCAATAAAAGACGAAATGGCCCGAGCGGCACCCTGGCTGCGGTCCACATCGTTGCCGCCGGTGGACTGCACATTCGAGCCAACATCCTGGAACTTTGTGCGCATGTCCTTTTCTCGCCGGCCGAGCTGCGGTGCATCTACGGTGATGAAGAGACCTTTGCAGCCGCGCTTCTCGGCATGCTGTACGATGCGCTTGGTCACCTCGCGGTCCTTATTCACATAAAGCTGTAGCCATTGCACCTGGCCGTCTTCGGCGGCGTCTACAATCTCATCGAATGAGCACGATGCTAGTGTAGGAATCATTTGAATGACGTTGTGCTTCTTTGCGCCTCGCGTGAGGAGGACCTCGCCTTCGGGGTTTCCTAGCTTGCCGAGTGCGGTCGCGGTAACGTAGAAGGGCATGTCGGTTTTGGAACCGAGCATGATTGTAGAAGTGTCAATGTTCTCTACGTCTACGAGGATGCGCGGTCGGAACCATATCTTGTGGAAGGCGCTGTGGTTCTCACGCATAGTCTGTGGCCTCAGGGTTAGTGTCTTGCTGTTGACGGTGCTGGCAACGACTCACAATCTCGTCGTCGGCACCACTCGAGTAGTATGCCCAAGCTGTCTTCTTCATGACGCGCCGCGCGACGTGCTCAAAATCCATCAGGTTGTAGCATTGTTCAAGAATAGGCATGGTCTCGATGCGCTTCTGCCTCTCTTCTTCGTCCGGATCATACTCCTTCTCTTCCTGCTCGACCGTCTTCATGTCGACCTCGCCCAGGTGGTGCTTCTGGTCGAGGTACTTGTCGAGGGTGTCCGGCGGGTGGATGGGATCGAATTCCTCGGTGGCATCCTTGCCGGCATACTTTAATATGATCTTGGACCCGCCCGGATGCTCTGGCAGGAATTCGGTCACATCGTATGCGCGTCCATGAACAATGACCCAGCACGAGTCCTTCGAATTGTGCTCGGCCACCTGCTCGCCGGTGAGTTTGTTCTTCTGCGTGTCGTTGCTGTCGTGGTTCATGGTCGACAATCAATGTGATAGGGATGGAGGAGAAAAGCAGATGGCTTGACTATAGATGTATTCGCAAGCGGTGACACACTAAAGGATGGACCAGGATTATGACGGCGAGAGGTTCCTGGGATTCCTGGGATTCCTCGGCACATCTCCCCCCGCAGCATCGGAAGACGCTGCCCAGCCTGGGCCAGAGCCAGGCCAAAGCCAGCAACCCGGCTTGTGCTTGGATAATACGCTGGCCCCATTGGGTGGCGGAAGCGAGGCCGCGGAAGTGGACATCATGTGACTGGTGGTGGTGGGAGCGTGGGAGCGTTGGAGCGTTGGCCATTCACCATCAGGTCACGACCGAGGAGACTCGCTATCCAAGGTGCCCCGAGTCACCCCGGGGCCATGTACGAGAGTGTCAATGTTTAGGAAGCTTCTGGCCCACGTCGAGGCAACAGGCCCGGTCGTTGGGAGGCACAGCGCCCGTCACCTCGTACGATTGCGGGGAGATGCAGGGCCATTGGCGACGGGTGCGGGTGCTGGTGCTGGTGCTGCCGCGCGTTTCTCATGCCATGGCCGATGCATCGCGCTCTCGCCCTCGCAACATTGCCCTCACCTTCACTGCAATTGTCTCCATCACGACCATGGTCAGCTATTGCCGGCGCACATCAGTCACATGGCGCCCAGCCGAGCACTGACCCATCCGCCGCTCGCGCCCAAACACCGTCGCAGCTATGTCACTCGTTGACACGCTGAGTCGCCCATATCCATACCTACGTCAAACCCCGTGAGACCTGCCACCGCCGCCCTCAGACACCAGCAAACACGCGCCATGCTGCCAGAAGTCGCGCCGCAATCGAAGTCGTCCTCTGCTGTCCTTCGCTCCCACATTGTTACCTAGCTGCCTACAGCCTGCACCTCCAAGCTCCAACGCCGGGCCTCGGTCGCCGCACTGTTTTGTCCGCCGACACTGCGCATGTAAAATACTTTCTGCGGACCAGCATAGTGCCAGTCGCAGGCCATGGCAAACAGCCTCGAGGCCAAGATTGTGGTGCTCGGGAGCCAGGGCGTGGGCAAGACGTCGCTGGTGCACCGTTACGTCAAAAATGCCTTCACACCGCCCACGACCCAGTCCACCATAGGCGCCTCTTTCGTGACGAAGAAGGTCGTCGATATCGACACCTCCACAACTGTGCGCCTCCAGATTTGGGACACGGCGGGACAGGAGCGGTTCCGGTCCATTTCGAAACTATACTACAGAGGTACGTAGGTAGCACACATCGCACTCGACATGCACAACAGAGCGCATTCAGCACTTGTTGTTTCCCTCCCCATACCTCGCTTGTACTGTTGCGCATCCGGTCTTCTCCTTTTGGTTCGAACCTGAGCCAAGTGGGGAGCTTGGGCTTGGGCTCCCAGTGCTGCCTCACCATGGCCTGAGCTTCGTCGCCCTCGAAACGAGGAGTCCGCATCGTGCTAACTCGAGCATTTCCAGGCGCAAATGCGGGAGTCTTGTGCTATGACATCACTGATCCCTCGTCGTTCGAGGAAATGGGCCGCTGGCTGAAAGAGCTTAAGCAGAACCTGGGCGACGATATAATTCTGCACATCGTAGGCACAAAGTCCGACATCGTCGCGGAAGATCCTTCGAAGCGCCAGGTCCCGTTCGAACGCTGTATTGCTTACGTCGCTGAACACTTGTATCCAAACCACGTCACACCAGGCCACACCGCTCCCGCAGCATGGCACAACGGGGGCATGGCATCACCTCAGAGCAACCGTTCGAGCGGAATCTGGGGCCAAGAGGTCGGATGGGACTGCTGCCATGAAATCAGCGCCAAGGACGGAGAGGGTGTGGACGAGGTGTTCCGAGTCATCACCAGGAAGCTGGTCGAACAACAGCAGAAGAAATTCCAACAGGAGCAGGAAATGTTTGCACTGGCCGGCGTCACACCCGGCGCAAATGGAAACGGCAACATGAACGACTACTTTAACTATCCTGGCAGCGGCAGCGGCAGTTTTCGCGTCGGAGTGGGCGACAAGAGACGCAGTTGGATGGGCTTCCCAACAACGCCGAACATCGGAGGCGAGCCGCAGCAGCAATGGTTGGAGGGCGATAACGAGAGGATCCGCAAAACCAAGGGAGGAAGGTGTTGTTGACGCATCCCTCAGCCTTGCGGTAAAGCACACCGCGCCCCATAAGCAAGACTTGAAAGGAAAAATCCGCAGCGCCATCCATATCCGTTTGATCCTATTCAAGATACCACCAGCCGCTTTTTCGATACCCCTTTGATAAAATCGAGCAGGTTCCTATTCTCCTGCGCGCCTCAGTCTGCTCTCACTCCGGGCTTGAGGCGTCGGAGTACGCCGATCAGTATTCCAACATGCCTGAGTGGCTGGTCGAGGAATATGTCTCTTCCAGGTGATACTGGAACATGCCATGCTCGAGTGGACCGGCGCCTCTGAGGCCGGCTAGTTAGTGCTGGGTGTGTTAGAACGCGACATGGTCTCATACTTTGGTTTTGCATTTCCAAGAGCGTTGTATGCATAAGTTGTAGCATAGCGGTGTTGTTTTATTTTCCTTTTGTTTTGGTAAGATGAAGATTCCACTGGCACATGTTTGATACCAGGAATGCATTCTGCACTCTCCGCATGGCCGATTTTGTCACATAATCGCCCAACCCTTGAGTCTAAGAGAACGCGTGGTTTTACTATAGGCGACCCAGTGTGAATCGGTTATGCAACAGTGTTCACCGGGGTATCAGATTGTTCTATAGTTCTATACGAGAGCCTCGCGTATCTTTAAGGCTCAGTCTAGTAAGAGCACACATTGCAAAATCGATCATCCTTCTATATGCTGTCACTTCAACGAAAGAGTTTCCCCACAACGTACCCAACATCAATGTCCCAGCCGGCATTCCTACCTGTCGTGAACCTTAACTCCAAACTTCCAGACTTGATCTACCACCACCCGCTTATCGTCCCCCACCGCGCCCTCCAGTACGTCTAACACCACCAGGTCAGCATCCGTGCCCTCCTGCAGCGATCCTTTCACGCCCTCTAAGCCCAACATCCTCGCCGGTGTCTCTGTCACCGCTTTCAGCGCCATAGGAACACTTGCCCCTGTCCAATTCATGAAATTGGTCACGCAGTCAATCAGTTCGATGCTGCTCCCAGCAATCTTGCCGTTCTCCTCGAGCGTGAGGAGCGCACCGTCCTTTACGATGCGCGACCCGTTGGTCCAGTCATACACGCCATCAGGCATACCAGCCAGGCGCATGGCGTCTGTGACAAGAATCAATCCCTCGGGGTGTGCGTTGTACGCGATCTTGATCGAGGTCGGATGAATGTGGATGCCGTCTGCTATAATACCAAAGTAAGGCTTGGAGATCGAGGATGAGGCTGTACCTAGGAGCCCAAAAATGCCTGGGTTGCGGTGATGCAAGGGCTTCATTGCATTGAAGAGATGTGTGATTGATCTTGCGCCGGCTTTGATACCAAGTTTCGCTTCTTCATAGGTGGCTTCTGAGTGCCCAATCGAGGCGACAATGCCTAGGGAGGCGAGTGACTGGATGGCAGAGAGAGCGCCGGGGAGCTCGGGTGCAATCGTAACAAGCTTGATTGGTGTTGCTTGCGTGAGATTGGAGGGGCCATAACAAATGGCCAGAGAGGCGATGCCGTCCTGGGGGATCTGCAAGACGGATGCGTTGTGGATGCCGTTCTTGGTTGGTGACATGAAAGGACCTTCGCAATGAGCGCCGAGGGATTCAGAGCCAAGGATCGGGTCTCGAGTTGATCCCGAGGGGCCAAGGTAGGGGAGGGCCTGAATGTGTTAGTGGTACGTCGATGTCCACGATGTAGGCTGGGGCCGGCGATAAGGGCATGTAAGACACACATACAGGCCTAAAGGACTGAGTGGGTGAAGTCACAAGTTCATGCACTGTCTAGGCTGAAAAGGGGCCTGAGTGGAAAAGTGCCAGTACAGATATCTGCGCAGTGTGAGGAGTAATGAGATGAATTACCTGGTGATAGACCTCTGTCCGTTGAGAGGTCAGCGTCGGAAGGTAGGATGTTACACCTCCTCGGATGAGGTTTCGGTTCACCTGCTGCACCCCCTTACCGTAGGCTATGGAACCATCCTCTGGGATGACTGAGAAGTCGAAGCCGTAGGCTCCGTTTAGTTGTACATCGATGAGACCCGGCGACAGGATGCGCCCACCAAGATCGATGATGTCGTCCGGGGCGGTAAGGTGCCCATACAATATCTCTTGGCCATTCAAGATCTTCCCAGTCACCGAACTGACCCATAGGTCTTCTTGGACAAGGTCGGCGCCCTTGACCAGCAGACAATTGGTGAACTTGACGACGCCCGAGCGCCCAGTGACGGCGGCGGAACCCATGGCGCGCACAGCAGATGGCATGGTGCAGCTGCGGGTTGTGCAAGCACGGGCCACAGACGGGGAGGAGGAAACGAAGAAGATGAAGGGAAGGCAAAAGGTATCGATGCGGTTGAGACAAGCTCAACATCTCTCTCTCGCTCTTAACAGAATGCGCCATGACGCTGCCGGCGATAAGAGTGACCCAGCGCCTGCGCGTCACGTGAACGACCCGCGCAACGTTCCCGTTCGAGGGCGTTTGATTGAACGGCGGAGCTCCAGCGTTGCACGACGGGCGGCGACAGCAGACGCTCCAGGGCACCCGGCGGCGGTAGCATTGGAGGTGGCCCCGGTGGGCGTGGGTGAGGTGTGGTGCTCATGCGGGACGTGGCCCCAGCTCCAAGCGCCGCGGCTCCCATGGATAATGTAACCGTTACGCTCACACCTCTTGCCCCAGTGCCGACTTCGATTGTTAACCTTCCGCTGCGAGTCACGTTCGCGCCTCGCTCCGACCACTACAGATCCGGTCCGCGTCCTGACGCCTACGCGACGGCCTTTGTTCGTCGCCATGGCGGCTAAGCCCGAGAAGCTGGACCCCGTATGGGATGATCTCGATAGGTGCGCTGATGCTGCCTTTCTACCCCGGATTTTCTCCCATGGCAGGCTAGTCGCTAACCGGCCCGCGATGCAGGACCATGGTGCGCACGTCAACAAACAGAGGCAGTGTATCGAGCTAACAGCGCGTCGAAAAGGGCCAACTGTTCATGATGGGCTTCGACGGGACTTCCATCACGCCGCACATCAAGACGCTCATCGAGAAGCACCACCTGGGTTCGATATTGCTGACAGCAAAGAACCTCAAATGTACGAGACAGTGTTCCACACGACAACCGGGGCTACCGGTTCGCTAACGATGCGCAGCCGCAGAAGAGACCACCAAGCTGTGCTATGAGCTTCAAAGGATTGCCCACGATGCAGGCCATCCAGTGCCCCTGGCCATCGGCATTGACCAGGAGAACGGCGGCGTCAACAGTCTGTACGATGAGATCTATGTCCGCCAGTACCCTAGCAGCATGGGCATGGCAGCGGCAGGCTCGATTGAGCTCGCCTACGAGGTCGCAAAAGCCACTGCACAAGAGATATCCGCCTGTGGCATCAATTGGATCTTCGGCCCATGTCTCGATGTGCTCACAAATGCTCGAAACCAGCCGCTCGGTGTCAGAACAGCTGGCGACGACCCCCAGGAAGTATCCGCCTATGGCGTAGCCTTTATGAGAGGCTATAAAGATGCTGGCATTGTTACCCTAGGCAAGCATTTCCCGTCTTATGGTAACCTTGAATTTCTGGGTTCAACCTTGGACGTTCCAATCATCACCGAATCGCTGGAGCAATTGAGCCTCAGTGCGCTGATACCATTCCGAGAAGCTATTCAACAAGGCCTCGACTCTATGATGGTCGGCGGCTGTGCCATGTCGTCCGCCGGTCTCAACGCCATGCACGCCTGTTTGTCTGAACAGGTCGTTGACGACTTACTTCGTAAACAGATGAACTTCGACGGTGTCGTCGTGTCAGAATGCTTGGAGATGGATGCGCTCAGTCACAACATTGGTGTCGGCGGTGGCACCGTCATGGCTGTCAATGCCGGTTGTGATATTGTCCTGCTCTGTCGTTCCTTCTCGTTTCAACAAGAAGCACTCAAGGGGCTCAAGACAGGTATCGAAAACGCAATGATCTCCAAAGCGAGGGTATACCATTCGCTGCGCCGGGTGTTGAACATGAAGTCGAAATGCACATCTTGGGAGAAAGCACTGAATCCGCCCGGCATTGGTCTACTTGAGAACCTGCAACCGTCACATACTGCCTTGTCCACACGAGCGTATAACGGGTCTATCTCCGTGGTGCGGGACAAGAACCGACTCCTACCTCTCTCTAACATACTCGAGAATGAGGAAGAGCTTTTGCTGCTGACCCCTCTGGTCAAGCCGCTGGCTGCTTCTGCTGCCTCGCGACAACTTTCCGAATCCGCGAATACCAATTCACCAGAACCTGCTGCATGGGCGCAGAGCTCGTCTGTCATGAGCGGAGAAAGGGTTTTTCGAGAACTAGGAAGATCTCTGGCACGACAGCGCAATGGACGCGTTCTACACACGTCGTATACGTCAAATGGTGTGCGACCAGTCCACGAGAATCTCATCAATCGTGCAAGCGCCATTGTGATCATCACAGCGGATGCCAATCGGAACCTCTATCAAAATGGTTTCACAAAACACGTCTCGATGATCTGCAATATGCAATACACCACCGGCGGCGAGAAGCGTGAGAAGCCGTTGATCGTCGTCGCTGTCAGTTCGCCGTACGATTTTGCCATGGACTCCTCCATCGGGACGTACATATGCACCTACGACTTCACGGAAACTGCATTGAATTCTCTTGTCAAAGTACTGTATGGAGAGATTTCACCCACCGGAAATCTACCGGGAACGATCAGCAAGAGCCAGAAGTTGCATTCGTCGAGACAGCACTGGCTCGTCGAGATCTATAATGAAGAAAGAGACGCAAACGCCCTCGACAGCCTGATCACTGCAGTAATGGAAGGCACACCACCAAACCAACGTTCAGAACTCTCAAGCGCGACATCGAACTCGTTCATTCTACACGATAAGGAGGTAGAAGAGACTCATTTCGTCGTTCGCAATAGCAGCACCAGCGCGCTATACGGCTTTTGCTCCACCTACTTCTTCAAATCTACAGGTACCGGTGTCATAGGTGCTCTGTTTGTTGACCCCGGACGGAGGAAGCTGTCGATAGGTCATTCGCTCCACAACAGAGCTATTCGCACATTGCTGCAAAGAGATGGAATCAAACGATTTCAACTCGGCTCGCGCTTACCCAGCATCTTTCTTGGAATACCAACAGGCCACACTACGGAGCGCAAACGTCTGCGTTCTTGGTTCGCCAATCTCGGGTGGAACGCTGCACTGTCTCGGTCAGTATGCAACATGGTGGCACGCAATCTGCAGGCATGGTCTCCGCCAGAGGGTATGGCAAAGAGTCTAGCCAGTGCAGGCGCACAATTTGACATTGTCTATGGGTGGGATTATGCGAGTCCCATCTTGGATCACATCAAGACAAGTAATCGCCAAGGGCTTGCCGAAGTCTACAAGATTGCACTATCGGATCCTTCGGCGTGTGGCATCCTACGAGCGAAGCGGCCGGAAGACGGCGCTTTGGTGGGTACTGTCGTGCTTTACGACCACCGCTCGGCCTTGTACGAATTCATCCCACCTTTGAAAGACCTCAAAGAAGCCGCGGGAGGCATATCATCACCCGTCATCTCGCCTGGTGTAGGCGAATATTCGACATTGCTGCAGGGATTGGTTCTGCTCGGGATGCGGCAGATCAAGAAGTTAGGCGGCAACGCATGTTTGCTTGACTACGTAAGCAACCGTGGTGCACCATGCAGGTGCTTGTGTAAGCTGACGAGTGACAGATGGATGGCGATGGAAACTTTGACGGGTTCTCAGCGATGGGGTTTGAGGTATTGCACAACTTCGAGGAAGTCAGCTGCGACGCAGCGACATGGACGATGATACCTCCCTCTTGATCATGGCAGACGACGTGCGTAGTAGGGCCGACGTGTGCGTTGCACGATGTCTGTAGGGACATGCTCTGTGGGAGATGACGAGGTGTTTTGGATACCCGGGTGGGCGTTTGGGGGTTTTGTACACTAGCGCTTCCCGCGGAAACTTGGCAGCACAGGGCCGTCGAGCGATTCCGCAGAGCACATCCGTTGTCGTGCACGCTCGATGCGATTGGACGTGGTTGTTTTTGGACATTGCCGCTGGCAAGGTGCGCCGAAAGCACGGATTCGACTTTGCATGCTAACGGCGGGCGGCGCAGACGTTGGAATAGAGATGGCGTCGCCGGGGCGGGCCTGTGTGGACACCCCCCACGGCGGCCCCCCATGGTCGGAAGCTTGGGTGACGGCGACGGGCTGAGGACCAACGGCGGGCGCCTTTGTTCTCGAAGGCGCGTGGAAGCACGGCGGTCGAAGCATGCATGATGAGGACGGCCCGTTTGACTTAGCCAGGGCGCCCCGCCGTGCTAGACGTCCATGCATGTGATCTGTTCGGGCCCCAAGCCGCCAGTCGCACAGCTTCACGGCGACGGCACCAGCAGCAGGCCTGAGTATTGCTTCGTGCTCGTCGCTGTGAGCCACTGCCTATCGCATCGCCCCGGGGTCGTCGAGGTATCACGGGCTGAGTGAGCTGCACAAGTCCGCCCTCGCCAATCCCCAGCCTTCCTCGCATCCTCGCGTCCTCTCCTCCCCATCCGTGCAAGCAACCAGCAACCAGCATCCCGCATCCACCATCCACCATCCACGACCCACCGCGCCCGCCCGCCCGCCAGCCTGCCTGCCTGCCCCTTCGATCCATCCGCCGTCCCATGCGCATGCGCATGCGCGCCGCCCACGCACTGCGACCGCCGGGCCCACTGCCAGACGAGCAGCCATGGAGGGCTTCGACACCATTACCATGTCCTACTTGGCCGCGCCAATGTCACTCCAGAACGTAACCGCGCCCGACCACCTGCAGGCCCCCATGATGCCCATGGACCAGTTCGACCAGCGCTCTAATTATGACGCCGAGACCTTCGCCGGGTGAGCTGCTCGTCGCCATGAACCTCTCTCTGCTGACCTTTCTCCGCAGCAGCGAGGACGCCTTTGCACAGCACCACATCCAGCCGCCGCCGCGCCTGCAGCGCTTCCCGAGCGCCTACGACGACCCCTTCTCCGACGTGCTGAGCACCTACGACCAGCCGCTGCAGCCAGACCCCAACGGCCTGCCCGAGAGCCCCAGCATCGAGCGCGACAACAAGCTGCTCAGCTTCTCGCTCCCCAGCGTGCCCTACACCCTGCTCAACTATGTCGCCCAACGTGTCTCCATATCTATGTCTGCCCAGCTCCACGGCATGTTCTTCCTTGCCGAATCACCCTGGGCCTCAGCCGGTGATGTCGCCGCAGCCCCGACCGAGTTGACTTGTTACCGCCGCAACCTCTTCCAGATCACAGGCACTGTCACGCTACCTAGAAGCCTCCAATTCCTCTTGACCGATCAAGGGGACCAACTGCCCATCATCGGACAGGAGCTCACCATATCCGCGACAGAGTCGCTCGAGGGAAACCCAGTCAAGATAATATCGGTGCCGTGGAAAACCCCTGCGAGCACTGCTGCAGTCGTCGAGGATAAGACAGAGAAAGAGCCCCCTTCATTTCCACTCGATCTCAACAGTGGGCAAGACATGGACTCGGACTACGTCAATTTCCCAATCAGCTGGAAGAGACTGCAATTCAGAATTGCCACTGCGAATAATGGGCGGCGGAAGGAGCTACAACAGCATTTTGTCGTGAGGCTGAAGGTCGTGGCCATTCTTTCCAACGGTGCCAAGGTGCCGGTTTGTGAGGTGCACTCAGGTGCCGTTATCGTGCGCGGCCGCAGCCCGAGAAACTTTCAGTCCCGCAAAGACATGCCAATCAGTGGGACAGGTGGCTCTATCCGCAAAGCTCACGCTTCGCACCAGCCGAGCAGGACACCAACAGGTGATGCGCAGCAAACCAGCCACAGCAATAACAATGTGCAGACCACACCCGGTACGACCAAGGCGATGGACACGCTCCAGCTCCCGTTCGATTTTACCTCAAATGATCCTATCCTGTCGCCTGAGTTCAGCCTGGACTGGAAAGTGCCTGCTGCCCCGATGACTGCTATCCCACCAGATCCAACGCCCCCACCGATAACGCCCTATGCGCGGTCAACTCCAGATCTTTCTCGGAGTGGCGCACAGGCACAACACGCAGTCATGGCGCCAGTGTCCTTATCTTTGACTGATGACGAGCCGAAGAAATCTGCATCTCCGTCCGAGCATGCAAAGAAGCGTGGCACTCCTGCGCGACCGCCCTCCTTTTCTGTTGGCCTGATCAATAGTCCAGATGAAAGTGCAGATCTGTTGTACGAGTATTTCCCCCTCGGACTGGATGACTGGATGCCACCTGTCGATGCTGTCTACCGGCCACATGTTGTCCATCATACCAATCTCCCACCAGATCCGAAAGCGCTCGCGGTGAAGAGCAAGTCTAAACGATACTTTTCTGATGCTTGGTGATACAAAATCATAGTCCGATACCCCGTGCTTTGGCGTTTCATGGTCTGGATGAATTGCAAATGATTTACGACGGTGTTGAACGATCCTGTACGACTTGTCTTGGACGTTTGGATTATCGGTGGTAGCGCTGTTTGCGTAGACTCAACCGATGGATAGGAGGTCGGAACAGATCGCCCTGATAGTAGTTGAAGGATTCCGTGTCCAAATCCAACCCTTTCTGGAAGTCCTTGGACGTGAGGTATGAAAATATTTTCCATGTGGCAGCTGTGATGGGTTTCGATCCAGAACGACCTGACCGTACGCCTCGGAATCCACTAGCGCATCTGAGAACCGGCATATTGTGTTCCTATCGTTGTACCATTTCTCTGCTCCAGCGTTGAAGTTGCAGGATTCTCAACGACCCGACGGAAAAGCTAGCAGCGTCCGATTCGGCGGAAACGCGATTCGCGGGCTTCATGCCACGCGGTTCTTCAGGCCCTCATCAGGAAGAGATACGAGCACTGTGACCGCGTCCGTAAAGTAAAGACCTGGGGGAGTACCGCACATGGACTACGGAGAGAGTGCACCGGAAGAGCAAATGAAGGCTACATGTACACCTAGGTCTTTGAGAGGATTGCGTCTGCAAACAGCATTATATCCCAGTCTTAGTTCTGACTACGTATTGTTTTACATGTATTGTGACCACGTCTTGTCTCGCATTTGGCATCAAATGCATGGTGACTGGCAATGGCACCTCCATCTCCGCCAGAAGCAGCCCACAAAAGTATGGCGAATCATAGGCATGAGTTCGCGTGCGTGCACTCATTGCAACGTCCGAGTCTTACCACCTTCTGTTGACATGACAGCTCACCACGCCTCACCGTAAGCTCATCAGTCCACAGACGGTACGGTGGAGAAGTCGAGAATGACCCTGCATGGCAACTTCCGCGAGCGTCAGCATAAACCAATATAGTATGGAATGGAATGACCACGATGCAAGACCTGCCTCTGATCTATCAATAAAGCACCTTCCCTCCCCATGCGCAGCTGAGAACGAAAGTGCACGTACACCTTCCTCTCGTAGCAGATGCGCAATTTTTCTCCGCACCACGATTATTGTCGCAGCCGTGCAATAAACAGTTTGCCGGTATCCCGACGTTTGGGCTGGATCTCCGAGGTTGAGTGGAGCATGTGGTCCCCTCGGGTTGCATCGCGGGCGTCCATTATTGTATCGTATGCGGGAGAGTACATCACTACCGCGACTAGCTTAGCTTAGCCGAGACCAGGCCGAAGCGAGGTAAGAAGAAGCGCTGTATGCCTACGTGAAGTGGACACCAACGATTTGCCAGAGTGGACCATGGCGCTGAGTAGCCACGCGGAGTTCCTGTAGGCGCAGGTAGCGTGGATAGGAGCACGGTAGCAAAAGCGCTGCGAGGTTGTAACCACAGACGGGCATTCATCTCCGCACGTCCGTATGCGAGCGGCAGACGACGGGTGATGGAAGACTTCATGTGGTTCCTGCAAAAATGTGATGGACAATGTATCATCGTGGTCGTACTGCATGCACTACCTCTCGAGACATGGTCGTCTGTTTCCGGGCCCCGGCTTGTCTCTTGTCGGTATGCTTCTCTTCTTTAGAAACGCCGAGCATACATCCACCCATCTATGCCGCTGTATGCAGTGTGAGGCTGCATGGCTTCAGTGAAAAGCGCTGCGACGATATGCGCGCATTTCAGGGGTACGTCGAGAAAGGTAAGAGCCTGCTCTGTTCTCGCTGTCCGTGAGGCAGCGGATACCGACCAAACGTGCGCCCGTCATGCAACAATGCCATTGTCTCGTGTTCATAAAAACAACACGGTAGGACACCGATGTCTCACTGTGACAACAAGGGCTCGATATGTGGCGCCTGTCGCCGCGATGGGCACTACTGCTCACCATGTACTCGCCAGCCGTCTAGCATTCAGTGGGAAGGATGGTGACAGGCGAGGCAAAAGCACGTCCGAGTACGAGTTCCAGACATGGTATCAAGTCCAGCGCAATACGCTGCAATACGACTGTGCAGTGCGCAGTAGTCGTCGAAAGAATATGTTCGCTAGTGGCTAAGATTAGAAGCAAGGAACTTTGTAAGAGATAGATAGCGGGGTTATTCGATCGGTACATTTGGAAAGAATTTCGGAATATATGCTCCGACCGATCTAGAGTTACCTTGAGTGCCTAGCTGAACTAGCCGGGTAGAGGTAGGAACTTTCCGAGATACCTGTGGTCACACATCTCAAAAGAATACTTCGGCAACTGCTCGTATGCATGTGGCGACTTCTCAGAGGCTTGAAAGGAACACAAATGAGAGCAAGTGAAACTTGGTGATATCAGTGACTTTTATTTTAGTCTCAGGCAGAATAGGCCCGAAGAGGCCTGGTTGCCATCCAAACGCCGTAGGGAGCTTGCCCTTATGCACTTCCCGCGCTCCTATGCCACGATGATGCGCCGCATCCCATCGATCCCGTTCGTCGTCTCGATCATCAAGATGCAGAAAAATAGTAAGAGCGCGAAGCAATGCAACGAAATGAGACCCAATGTCTACACAACCCACCGTTGCGTCAGGACCGAACAGGACGAGAGAAATGCTCCATTCCATGTATATACAAATTAACATTGCTTAGCGGGGTATAAAGCTGTACTTCCAACAACATACTTATTCTTCGAGACAGCATACTGCAACAGCAGCACCGAAGATGGCAGATTCAATGGCGATCTCGAGAGAAATCGGCCTTGGCTCCGCTCCAGAGGCGGCAGTCAACTCATCCAGATGCGACTGGCAAAGCTCGCGGAACAGTGGATACTTTTCGATAATAGATCCGTTGCATCCAATCGCCATCTTGCCAGCAGTGGCTGGTGTCAGGCCCTCTGATGTTGTGCGGAGAATCCATAACGAGTGGATCCCGGCGGCTAGGAAGGCAGCTGCGCGGTGAGCCACGAGTTGAGAAATTTGTCGGATGAAGTGGATGTCGTTATAAGTGGGAGGTCTGCTGAGTGGATGTTTCGTTTGGAATAAAGCGACGCCGTTGGTCAGGTTCTTGGACGTATCCATCTCTAAAGCTGCAATGGTACCCGCATCAAGCGAATACGCTTCGTTGAGTTTGTCCGGCAATTCTCCTCCGAACAGCCCCGCTGTACGTACTGCCTCTACTATGATCAATCGGACAAGCTCTCCCAGGTAGCGACCGCTGATCATGTGCTCAAAAGGCTGGAAATCCGGGCGGACATGGGCGTCGTTGAGCTGCTCGTCCCATCGTGTCATTGGGAATACGGTCTTACCGCCGAACATGCTGAGTTCGGTGTTGACAAGAACGTGGGTTGCCTCGTCTCGCCATTTCTGCGGGTATCCTTTATACTTGGAAGAAGCCAGAGTTGAAGTGGGGAGATGCACGGCAATGTTGAAGCCTGTGCCAAGAATAACGGCAAATCGTGTTGCTGGGTCTTCGTAGGCACGTGACAACAACGTTGCTGCCGAATCGTTGACTATCGAGTCTAGTCGCACAGGCAGATGCTTGAGCAGTGTCAGCGTCAAGTTGGATGGGACCAGAGTGTGTGTCCCCTCACCCTCGTTCTGCAAGGGGCCATGATCAGCTCGCTCAGGTCTTGGCCAAGCGTGCCCTCAGTCGCACGGAAGCCTTTGCCCATGGCAAGAAGGTTGCCAGAGCGAGTTGATGTTTGCCTAGCGACAGGTCAGTCGGGGAATCAGCGAGCGATTACGCGACCACGTACTCGATGGGGAAGGACCAGGCTAGGCCCATGGCGAAGGTGCCGGCGCCATTGATCCTCTTCAGCTGCGGATCTGAGATGGCTGTCTCGATCTTCTCGGCCATCCAGTCGAAGAATTGAGTACCGCGGAGGTGTCGTACCGAGTTGTCGATCTTGTAACTCTTCATGTTGACGATGCGCATACTCTTGGCGACGGGTTGGTGGCCGTTTAGCTCCACGACAGCGACGCGGAAGGTAGAACCACCGACGTCCAGCGCCAGATAGGTGCCCTGTTCGAGGCCGGTGGGGAGCTTGTGGTTGTATGAAGGCAGCATGCAAATGTCGCTCGCCTGGAGCTTCGGCGCAAACTGGTCATGCAGCCTCCCGGACATGTGCAGCAGCTGTGCAGGGTCCAGTGGAGCCTCAAGCAGGCGCTGGATCTCGCGCAACAGGTCGTCCATGGACCGGTCATAGGTCCGCACGGCATCGCGGGTGCGCCTCCGCGAAGGCAGCGACGGCAGCACGGAATGGAGGAGCGAGGGCAACATGGCGAGACGTTCCAGAGCCGCAAGTAGGCTCTGCCAGAAGTCAAACATGGGCTTCTTGTACCAGCAGACGCGAGGCTGTTGGGCGGGGGGACTGCTGGCGTGGTGGGCGCAGTCGTTGTCGGGAAAGGTCATACGGCGGCTTTTGAAGCGTTTCAGCAGGTGCGAGGGTGGTAGATGGAGGTTGGACGACGGTGACAGCGGGGCCAGGTGGTCCTGAGGGTTGATTGCAGGCGTATATCAGACTCGCAGCGAGCACGAGATGTCGGGCGGTCAGGACGGCGCTACCACACAAACCGTGGCATCCAGCGAGCGATGTCGCAAACGGCTCTTAAGCATGGTTGTACGGCTTATGGCATAATAGGGAGAGGGTTGTATCCGCTAGAGGCACACTTGGGAAATCCTCCGGCAAGCAGACACGCAGAACGGCAGCGCAGGTGTCCTTACAGCGGGGCTGGGGTGGGCTCTCAGGGCAGGGCGGGCAGAGGCGCCGTCCGACGGTGGGTGGGACGGCCAGGCACGCAGCACACGTAGCGAGAGGCAAGCGGTGCATTTGCAGGGCGTGATGGCGAGATGCTGTGGTGGCCATGTTTCGCGGCGAGGATGCTACCGTTACTCCAGCCTAGCCGCCTTGGGCCCACACACAGCGTCCCACGGCCCATGCACCTAGCGCCCGCTCATCAGCCAGATTGGCGATCGCTGGCAAGCAGCCTCTCCCGGCATTGAGCCGACTCCACGGCGTCGCATCCAGCCTCGACTACCAGAGGCTTTGAAACACGGACTTGTCCCCTGGTGTAACCGTCCAAGCGCAATTGAGAACGAGCATGCCACTCGATCAAGCTCCTGCCGCCGTGCCTGATGGCCAACACGGAATGCCACTGCGCCCATCACCTGTCGACACGCCGTCGGCTGAGCGTCTCTGCCTCGCTACGCAAGCCCTTCGGCAGGCAAGACCAGCACCTCAGAAGGAAGCAGGGTGGGAGATTGCTCTTTGCATGCATCAATATGCGACTACCGGCGAACACTTCGTGGGAACAAGGTGCCAACGCCGGCGAATGCCTTGATTAAGGAAGGGATATCGTGCAGAAACCTCATGCAAGCGCCGCTCGAGACCATACAGGCAAATGTAGCCCTGCCCCAATCATGTACAAGAATGCCCAAGGAAAGTGGTATCAACAGCCTCCTCCGTCGTTATCAACACATTCAGCCGCTTCAGGCCTTCTCCGTCACCACCTCGCCTGCGGGCACGACGTGCGCCTTGGCTGCGACCTCGTCGATGGTCTCGTCGGTGAACCTGATGTCCTTCTCCAGCGCAACCGTGTCTTCGACCTTCCACAGAATGACCGGGAGGGCGATCAGCAAACTACCCGCAAGTAGGCCCCAGTTGGAGGCGAACATGTTCATGTAAGAAATCTTCCTGTCGTCCAATGCCCACGTGATGGCTCCACCGGCAGACTGGATGCCCTTGTAGAACCCAGCGAAGTTGGCAAGCTTGCGTCCGTTGTTCGTGAGCGCACCCATGAACCTGTTGAGCATTAGTTTTGCTTCCCACAGCCTCGCCGTCTCGGAACGTACCAGTAAACGCACGTCTGCCATGCAGCGTCGGAGAAACCATAGAACATGTACAAGACAAAGGGACCTGCGAACCCAGCATCGGTCCAGTCCTTCTTCGCGTTGAGGAATTCTGGCGCCACGCCATCTACACCTGTGCCAGGCTTGAGCGCCTCAGCCCATTCGCGAGTATAGGTTGTCTGGAATCTGTAACCGCAGCCCCAGACGATCATGATCAGAGCGAACAACGCAGCCCATGCAATCTTGGCGCGCATAGTACGGCGCACACCTTTGAAATCAAGAGCGAACCCGAAGACATAGGCACCGACGATTTGCATGGAATAGTAAACCACGCCATTGAGAGCTCGTGTGCGCGTGTTGAAGTAGGCAGCGTTGATTTCGGTGAAATGGTAGGCGTAGAACCAGTTGGACGACAAGAACATGGGAAACAGGGCCAAAATGTAGGGATCAGTGAAGAAGGTCTCCCAAAGGCCCATGATTTCCGAGGACCAAGATGGGTGCTTCATGACGATGACCTTGGAGCCATCATCGCGAATCACGTCCTTGGCGTCGACGAGTGTCCAAGAGAGTGCAGCGCCGATGAGGGTGAGGATCAAGAAACCTACGTAGGTTCCATCGCTGACCGTCACGGCTTCTGTGCTGTGGATGCTCTGGCCGAGGGGGATCTGTGACATTTGCGTCAGCTACACGTCCACGTCCACGTCCACGTCCACGTCCACGAGCGAAGCTCGTCGGGCAACTTACCAGACTACCGATGACAGCGCCCAGATTGAAGATCATCCAGAACCACGAGATGTAGCGGCCCTTTGAGTTCTCTGGAGGATACGACATCATGATGGCACCTTGTGCGCACCAGAGCAGACCAGCGCAGACGCCAAGAAGGGCGCCCGCGAAGGTGGTGAAGCCGAGGTTCTTTGTGTGGTTGTAGCAGAGGAAGGAGCCGACGTAGACGGAGTACCCAATGCCGCCAAAGGACAAAGCGGTGCGGATGCCGAGCTTGTTGGTGAAGGTACCGGCGAAGAAGCCGACGACGGAGAAGGTCGAGTAGAGAGCCGTGTTGGCGTGGTTGTTGGCGGTCGCGTCCATCTGGCCACCGCCGCCCATTCCGTTGATTGCGTTGAACATGCCCGGGCACATGAAGCACACAAAGGACACGATGAGCAGCTGCACGGGCGGCGAGGCATACCAGGGGAATCTGCCGAGGATCTTCTTGTATTTCCACGACTGCGGCAGTTCGAGCACGCCGTGGGGCTCGGTGACAGAGGCCTCCGGGGAGGAGACGTCGTGCGAGGCCTTCTTGGGATCGACTTCGGCCATGGTAGCGGGTGGGAGAGGTTGGCGCAAGGCAGCGCGAGGAAGGAGCGCGGGTCAGGAGCAGGCGAGGCGAGAAACGAGAGGCCCTCTGCTCTGCGAGGTTGCTGGGGCTCGCGATTGCGCGTGGACGTGATGCGTGAAAGGAGCGAGGATGGAGCGGCCATTTTAAGAAAGTGACCGTCAGCGAGGGCATCTCTCCGCGCTATGCCCCTGTGGGCCCCGTACAGTAGTGCTGGTGCACACGAGCAATTTGGACCCTGCCCCCGCGCCCCGAGCTGCGGTCGTGGTGGTGCAGGCGGCCAGTTCGTTTCGTTTCATGCCGCCCGCCTCCTGGTGCTGCTGCTCTCGGCCACTCGCCGCCCTGCGCACGCCGTCGAGCCACGCCCGGGTGAGCCTGCACGGCGGCGCGCTCGTCCTCTTCCTCTGCTGATAACACTAACGCCCCGGCCGGCGATCCACAGGCCATGCTGGGAAGAGGGCTAGCGCCCGCCACTCTGCAACGTCGCTGCCGCCCTCCCTCCCCCTCGACGACTGCCATCCCCGCACTCGACGCCGGCTCCTGAACGCCTGACCACCGCTCCCCAGCACCGCGATACGGCTATGCCTGCTGCGGCTGCTGCCCCCGGCGCCGCCTGCTCGTGCTGATAAGCGTCGTGTGCCGGCGAGCGCAACCTCATGGCGGCGTGGTATCGCATCGCACGGCGCGGCGCTGTGGCTCCTCGCTGGCGCCTTGTGTTACCACCCTCGCCTACCACCGCAATGCGTCGTGCCGCAACGAGCCGGGCGTGGTGAGCTTCTGTGGCCTTCTGTGACGGCGTTGTCGCATTGCCTCCTTTCATTCGCCGTGGCCGCCGTGACAAAGAAGACCCTGAGGCCGGGCAGCAGCATGCTACCCGCCCCGCCCATGACGTGAATGTGAACGTGAACGTGAACGCGAGAGCCGTAGAGAGTGATAAGTTGTGCCTGCCCGTTCGCTGCCCGTCCATCGTTGAGCGACTTGCTGCACCACCTGGACACAGCATACACACGCAAACCTAACCATGTATGCACATGCGCTTGCCTGTCCGGCTTGCACTCAGGCTGACCACTGCAGGCGCCTGATTATCAGAGACGATCCGCAGACCGCTTCCAGGTACATTGCGGACTACATCATTGGTGCTTGCTTCCGACCCTTGCCGTCCACAAGCTTCTGCTAACGCCGCTGTCAGAACGCATCAAAACGTTCGATCCAAGTCCGGAGCGTCCCTTCGTGCTGGGTCTGCCCACAGGAAGTAGCCCTGTCTTGACATATCAGTACCTCGTTCAGCGCCACAAAGCGGGCGACATATCCTTCCGCCATGTCGTCACTTTCAACATGGTGAGTTCTGTCGCGCGAGCCTCCCATCACCCTTGCGTGCGGCTGCATGTGCGGCTGTGCCACGCCGCTCCCATGTTTCAATGGCTGATCAGCTGCAGGACGAGTATGTCGGCATTCCGCGAGAGCACCCGGAAAGCTACCACAGCTTCATGTACAAACATTTCTTCTCACATGTAGACGTCCGGCCCGAGAACATCAACATTCTCAACGGCAATGCTCCCGACCTGGAAGCCGAATGTCAAGCATACGAGGACAAGATCGCCAACGTAGGAGGCATCGAGCTGTTCCTGGGCGGTATAGGACCTGATGGACATATTGCCTTCAACGAGCCTGGCTCCAGCCTCAAGTCTCGGACCCGCGTCAAAACTCTTGCCTATGATACTATTCTCGCGAATTCAAGATTTTTCGGGAACGATCTGGATCAAGTTCCCAGGATGGCCCTGACGGTTGGGGTCCAAACTGTATTGGATGTAAGCCTTCCGCCCAATGACATCTAAGCAACGCTAACGTGTACAAGGCGCGTGAAGTAGTCATCATCATCACTGGCGCGCACAAGGCTTTGGCTCTGCAAAAGTGCCTCGAAGAAGGCATCAACCACATGTGGACACTCTCGAGTCTTCAGCTGCACCCGCATCCGATGATCGTCATTGATGAGGATGCCACCCTGGAACTCAAAGTCAAGACCGTCAAAGTAAGCTCAGACGTCCAGCATTGTTCAGTCACGATCGCTCACCGTTGATTAGTACTTCAAAAGCATTGAGAAGGTCGCCACCGAACAGGGATTCCGACAGATGCTTCCTAGGATCAAGAAGCGCGACTCTGTCCATGAAGAGGATGACTTTTTGTCTGCGCCCAAACCCCAGCGCAATGGGCTCACGCTTGCCGTGCCGGCCCAAGACATGTCCCGCTCAGCCAGCCCTGCGTTGGAACCCATGAGCGCACGAATCTCCGGCAACGAGGCAAACGTCTTCCGTCCCGTCGACCTCAATAGCGAGCTGCAGTTTGGCCCCATGAGCGCCCGTGTCGCAGGTTAAACAAGCACGGAGGGATTGCCGAGGGTTTTGCCGGAGTACGGACATTCGTTTTGCATTGATCCTTCGTTTTGCCTATGGAGTTGGACACCATCGTTTGCTAGGAGCAAGACGAGGCTCTGCACCTGAGTTTTGGTGTGTGGGACTGTTGGCACCGTAGAGTAGAGTAGGATGCATCAACTGCGTAACTCGGACATAGAACCTTTTGTTGGTCGCATTTTCATAGAGGATGAGCATACCTTCGAGATACCCTGTACAAAGTAGATTCTGTAATGCATATACTGAATATATCTGTACGTCGATGCTGTGTGTTCCGTAGGTGTGCACGTTGTAATGCACCCCTTCTGAGTCGATAAAAGGGTGAATAAGCCCGCATCATTGCATTTGGCCAGTTATGAAGGGCGACGTTAGCGCTGGATGTTTTCTACAGGACGGTTATGTTCGCATTGGAAACGCCACGATGTTGTCCTCAGCCTTGCTGGCGCCGGCGATGTCGAATGGAGAAGAGAACCACGAGTGGAGCGACGCACGTGCACGTCGCTCCGTATTCGCAAGAGCCGAGGCACGTCACTTCCCCAGCTTCTTGGATAAGCCCGTCTTGTCGCAACACACAACAACACGCCGTGGCAGCATGTGAAATCCCTCGTTGAGAGCGCACACTCACGGTTTGCTCGCGCACACTCACGGTTTTCTCAGCATGTCATCTTCCAGCGTGTCCTCATCGGCCAATAGGCCCGAACAAAAGGAGGAGTTGGACCCGATCGTGCGCAACGCGTTGCGATACACCATCAGTCCGCGAGAATATCAGCTTCTGCACCAATACCTCCTTTCCCGCGCCCCTGCTGTCCGCAAACGCACGCTGCCGCCCAAGAGATACGACGCAATCGCAAATGGAGGTGACGATTACAATGCTGCAGCGATTCGGGCAAGTCTCAGGCTTGCGGTGGCGGCTTTCTCAGGCCTCAAGGCTTGGGATCTCGTAAAGACCAAGTTGCTGGCCCGAGATGCACCAAAGAGGTGAGCTGAAGCCACCATGCACTCTTCCGGTATGCTGACGCACTGAAGACCACAGCGCCCAATTCCTGTGTACAAATCCCCGAACGTCCGCTTGACCTGCTCGCTGTCCCTCATACTGCTGTTCCACCGCCTTCTACGCCGCTTCTTCAGCCGCCTCCGCGAGAGCCTCCTCACGCAGGAAGCGAAGCCGTTCCGACGGCGAAACCCTCGCATATCACGCTCGTTGACCTCTCGGCTTGCACCCGCCATCGGTTCCAGCCTAGCGGGCTTCTTTCTCGCAGTGTATCCTGGCGACCAATTGCGGATAACCATCGCCATTTACATCTTCACCAGGGCGTTGGAGTTCAGCTACAACTATATCGAAGAGCTGGGCTATTTCCGCAACAGGCCCCCATGGTTTGGCTCATGGATGCTCATGCCCGTAGCTTGTGGACAATTGCTGCACGCATTCGTCTTTGACCGCGACTGCTTCCCTGCGGCCTACGGCAAGTTCATCCTGGACAATTCCCCGGAGTATATCCAAGCAAGACCTGGAGGATACCCCAAACATCTCAAATGGCCGAGTACCTTCGACATCGTCGATAACCTAGCGCAAATTTCCAAAGAAGGATGGCCTTCCTTCACTTCGCCCATTATGTTTCCTAATTCAGAGACCTTACCGAGGAGCCTTACAGCCATAGCACCAATCACATCCCCGGCCCATCCAGCCATCAAACATTTATCATGCGCGCTCCTGCACCCAAATGATCCATCTTGTTTACGCACGTACGTTTCCTACTGGATCCAAGCCTTCCCCAAGGTCGCCCGCCTTTTCTCCATGATTTTCACAGCCCTCAGCCTGCCTCGCTACAAAAGCTTCCTCAACTCTCCCATCTCCACCCTAAACAAATTAGCAAAGAACGTCCTGCGTATGTCCATCTTCATCTGCGGTGCCATCGGCACGAGCTGGGGCTCCATCTGTCTCCTCCAGAATATATTCCCGAGGAATTTCCTCCCCACTCAGCGATGGTTTATAGGAGGTTTTCTGGGCGGAATGTGGGCGTTCTTGGAGCGGAAGAACGGTAGGGGTAACTTTTTGTACTCGGCACGCATGTCGATTGATTCGCTATGGAAGGTTGGTGTGAAGAGGGGATGGTGGCGCGGAATCAAGAACGGGGATGTCTTATTATTTGTGGTGAGTCTCGCAACGGTCAATGTGCTGTATGAGGTTGCGCCCACATCGGTAAGCAGTGGGGTGGCTAGAAAGGGGCTGGGTGTGTTAAGGGGTGAAGGGTGGATTGATAGGGCGACGCTCCCAAGGGTAGGCCAGGCGAATGATGGGGAAGAAGGATAGGGTCTTCATGTGGCATGATTGTCGATGGTACTATACATTCGAGCACTGTATAACGAGTCGAAGGACATGGTATACGATGTAGATTATGGCTCGCTGGCTTGATTATGCTTCGTTGCCACATTGAATGGGTCGCCTTTGACAACACTCGAGTTTCCGCTTTGAGAAAGGCCACTCACCTATGTGACGTGATCACTGGTGGCAGGCGATAAATACATGGTAGGGAAGTCTTTTGTCAGGTTCATACTGAAAAATCGTGTTCGGTTGATGAAACTTCTAGTATCATGCCGCGTAGAGCAATTTGTAGTGAGGGCGAGCTGCTTTGGGTCAATGCACGGGAAATTGACTTACATTTGCTGAAGACCATTGGGTCTCGCCCTTGCGCTGTGCCAACATATTGCGATCCAATTGCACTCTTGACGACGGCGAAGAGCCGGCTCAGTTCACTAAAGCCGTTAGCAAGCCTCAGCTATGCAGACAGTCCCATTCATTATGTTCTCCCACACTACGAGAGAAGCTCCGCGCAGGTCCCGCAACGTACACTGTTATTGGGAATGAAGCCATCAACAGGTATTCCTGCGTATAACCTATGCTTCATACTGCTACGGACAAGCAAGCCATCACCAGTCCTTGGCCGCAAGACAGTGATTCTTCATGCGCTGTTGACCACGAGTCTCCTCGCGTAAACCCACACGGTCCGTACTTCTTCGGCTACGATAAGTACACTATACGTCAAGAGTACATCCTGGGGACACCGCAGTCCAGATTTGCAACGCATACGGCCTGCACGCTCAGCGGTATAGGCTAGGCTGCCTCATTAGCTACCATACCTAGGTAGTCAACTTATAGACGATCTTCCTGACATCTTGAAACAAGGCACTGGGTCGGCCACTCTAATATATATACAACCAGCGATCAAATTTCGTAGAGCATTACTCCGTGCACCACGTTATAAACATGGCATATGGTACGAGATATTTGATAAGCTTCAATTGCACGAGTATTACTGTTTCTGCGCTATGATCTGAATCATACACGATGTAGTATGACAAAAGATTGCTGTATTTGACGATCCTACTGTAACGCAATGATCCAAAAGCAGCTAAAGCAAAATTCATTGCTGATGGAACAACGAAGGCTGCCCACGACAACCAAATTGCTATCTAAGAGAATTAACGAGTGTGAGAGCCGACGAGCAACCATGCACAACCACAACTACTACATCTCCCGAATTCGGCCATTTAGCGTCTTTCAGATATTTCATCCTATGAGAGACTTGACGATGAGATCTGCAAACGTTACACCAACTCTCGGGGACAGCTTTCAGACGCGCCGTGTCTCGTGAATGGTTCGCTCATAGTCAGTTCCATAAGTGTGCGGAAACATCACGCTCGACCGAGCTTCAGCCCATTAGAGTCTCTTCGAGGCTGTCTCGAAACATAGCGACACGCTGCGGCGTGGGCATGCTCAGACCGTGCCACATCCAAAAGTCCTCGAACACAAGAATGTCCATACCAGCTCGCTTGTCTCCTTTGCGCAGCCCGACAGCCTGCAGCCAGTTGCGGGCCATGTGATAGAACGTTTGAGCGGCGTCTTTCACATTGCCGTTCTTAGACCACGTCAAGTCCAACTTCAGGCTCTGCAGGTTCTCGGCGAATGCTAGCAAGCTGAACGCTGTCTCAATGGACTGACCAGTACCGCGATTAAAGTGCAGATTTTCGCAGATAACGACATGCGAAAGATCGCGTACATGCAGTGAATAACGGCCGAGAAAGCTGGCAAGACCTTGTGCATCGAAGAAGTTGAAGGCATTTTGGCTGTAGAGAATCGGCGTCGCTTCATCGTGGATTTGCCTGTTGACGCGCAGCAGCTGGTGGACAATGTCTTTGTACTTCCTCTTTCCCGAATACTTCGATTGACGCACAGGTTTGGTTCGAGCCTTCGTATCATCGTCCAAGACTCGATGGATGTCAATGTGCCGGTCGGTCGCAGTAAGGGCGTGCTCATAGATCATATTCCGAATCTCACCTATACAGGTCAAATTGCTGCTTGAAGAAGCGTGAATGTTTGATGTGAAAGAAGTCCAGCATGCATGCGTATAGTGTTCGTGGCAGGATTTCACTCACCAGGTAACTCGAGAAACGGAAAACGCGACTCCTTCTGCTTCTTGGACTTCTTGGGGATTGAAGCCGCTTTCAGCCGCTTGGGTCGGGGTTGGTACTCGTCACCAGCACCTATGTCGTCGACGCCAGCGCCGAGCTGGGCGGACTTCTGCGTTTTGTTAGCCTGCCGATACAAGTAGAGATTGCTTAAGTAGTCAGTCGAAAGTAGTACTTACTCGAACTCGCTTGCTCATGACAGGTTATCTGGGTGCCAACTTCTCCGGGGATTCGGTTGAACGCACTCCTGTCGAGCGAAGGCGAGAAGATGAAGTGGCAGAAGTGAGGGCGTGGGCTGCTTTATGCGCGGCGGTCTAGCAGTGCTTGATGCTAGCGCGTATGCACAGACCTAAGGTACCTATGGTATACAAGTTCGAAAGGTTAGGGCGCAATGGATAGGACGTGAATAGCCTTTGGCACGAGTGAAAGCAAGGAGATAGGTGGCATGTTCGTTGCAGCACTCGAGGTGAAAATCCCAACGTAAAGTCTCAGAAGAGGGAGCGTTTCTGCAATAAAGCAAAACCGATGTAGTATCTCTACACATTGCTGAGGATTAGAATCCATCCAGCAGGCGGGTCCGTCACAGTCAGTGTTGATATACGTCCATGAAGCGGTTTCGTCTCAATGTTTTTGTACATATGGTACCTAGGTATGCATTCACTGTTCAGCCCACAAGGTGCTGCGCTACGTCCCGATACCCTCACCCAGATCTGCATTGCATCTTCTCGATTGAGTTCGCCAGAAGATGGTTGGACTGCAGAGTCGACTCGAGTCAGGTGACAGGCGCGGGACCCCGGGAGCGAATCCACTGTAACCGCGTCTGTGGAGAAGGTCTTGGCAACCCAGGAATTCCATTGATGGGGGCACGGCTACAATGCAGAGCCTCTATATTCACATATGCAATATTCAATAGACACATCCACGCTTCGTTTTCTTACTTGGTATAGCTCGCCGCGCTTTTGCTCTCCGACATTGTATTTTCAGTGATTCCTAGCACCCACTCTACCATGGCTGCCGCAGAAGTATCCCAAACAGTGCCGACGAGCGCAGATTACGACGAAGCACAATGCATAGCAGCACTCGCGCAGCTGGAGCGTATGAAGCACCAGGTAGATCGCCTCCATAATGCTGCTGTAAAAACTCCACACTAAACCAATGTCATAGCTTGATGACTTGCGACTCACGCTTCCCCGCATCGTCGAGCCTTTTCACCTGCCCTCCAAGCCTCCGATGTTCCACGCCTTCAAAGACAATTTAATAAAAGCGCAACGCGACATGAAAACATTTCGATCGCAGTGGCACGGCCAGGAGACGCAGAGTATTCTCGAACACGCAAGGAAGAGCGCGACAGTGAATCCAGATTTGAGCGCAGGTGTGCAGGTCCAACAGTACGGCTGGATAGAGAAGGAGGAGAAGGAAAGAGAGGCCGCAAATATCAGCAGGGACGGAGAAGAGCGTGCTGAAGACACAAGCATTCGCGTCACCCAAGAAGAGCGAGAGAGGGTTGTGGAACAGTGGAGGAAGACATATCCATCGATCAAGATGGTGGAGAAGAATGAAGGCAAACAATTATTGATACCGTTCGTCGCCGACTCTACCAGGTACCTTTTTCGAGTCACAATCTGTGAAGATGCAAGTGCATCTTGTGCTTTCCAGGCCGAGTGCGAGGGCACAGGTGAACCATTCACATCCGTGACGAGATGTCTTGCTTTACGCCCAAATCCGAATGATCTGAAGTATCTGTTGGTACGTCGAAAAAACATGATTTGCGCATATACAAGCAGCAACAACAACGGGAGACTGATTATGTACAGGATATGGTTGCAGCATACAAGACAGTGAGAGGACTCCACTGTGGGAAATGCAATCGAATGCTCGATGACGATACAACAAAGCCGGTTGCCAGAAGGAGCCGCCAGGTTGTTGGCGCTAACGAGACGTCCGAAACGGTCTGGGAGCCCTTACATGAGAGATGTTTACCATGACATCCAAACCTTCGCAGCTCTGTTGATCCAGGACATGCTCAGATGTTGCTCATATTCTGACCCGGTGCGCGCGGATCCCAATCTTTCTGCTGATACCAAATCCCCTCCACGTCCCGATACTGATGAGGCCATGGAGAGTCTTTTTGTGGCCCCTGCCACACTGCGTCTGTCCACATATTGCGGCGATAGTCTTCGTACTTCCGCGTATCGAAATTGTACCTCTTCAATCCGTTCCCCACCCAACACGGTTCCCTGAATCTCTGTTGCCCCTGCCATTGGGGGGTACCAGTCAACCAGGGATCGAGCAATCTGCGGTCGAGGTGTGACCAGTTGGACCATTTCCCTTTCAACGGTCGGTTGCAGACGTAGTCGCCGTTCTGGGCACCGATGGAAAGATGAATGTCAGGTCCCTTACCCTGCAAGATGTCCTTCAAGCGCCCAAGCTTGCCTCTGTCCTTGTCTTTTGGCCAGACCAGGTGATAATATGGCTTGACCTTTCTTCGACGTACACCGTTCTGATACCATCCTTTGATACCCGGCTGGTACCATCCATTCCCAGCCTGTGCGGGGATGTGCAAGTATTCTGCTGGATCCAATCTTCCAGCGTTATAATAACCCACGCGTCTATATCGAGGCGGAACTGCCATTGCGGCTGCTGAACCGGCTCTTCCAAGTTTGACAAGATAATATAGACAGGAGGGACAGGAGACGTCGGCGCTTTAAAGTACCATTTGAGTCATACGGGCCAGGATGGAGTCATGGCATGAGCGTTGAAGCATTTACTGGCCAGATCAGACACTGCGGAGGCAAACAACCGTCGCAAATACATCACTCTGTCAAACAAAGGCCCCACTTGTACTGAAAGGCTAGCGTATGTAGTGCTGCGCGTCTAACCCTTGCGGCTCCAAGCGTGGCCCGAGCTCCCCGGCGCAACGCGATCTCGTTTTATGTTCTCGAGCTGCGGAGGGCAATCAACACGCAGCACCGCCGCCGCCAACGCACCACTCGATCCCACCGCGAACATGAGCCTTTTCGGCAATCTGGGCGGCAACCAGCCCGCGTCCAGCGCGCCCAAGTCTTTGTTTGGCAACCTTCCCACCGCATCGACGGCCAGCACGCCCAGCTTGTTCTCAGGCTTGGGTGCCTCGACGAGCACTCCAGCAGGCTCGTCGACAACGACAGCTCCCGGTGGATCTGGGCTGTTCTCCGGCCTCGGGGGAGGAGCTTCGTCAGCCGCGCCTACGCCTTCGCTGTTCCCCTCGCTTGGAGGCGCATCATCGCAACCGCAATCGACGGGCTTATTCGCGACCAAGCCCGCTGACCAGGCGCAGCAGCCGCCGTCGACAAATCCGTTTGCTAGCAATCGCCTTTCCACCACAGGCAATGCACCCAGCGCGGCCGGCACGCAACCATCAGCTTCGACGGGTGCCTTCGGCAGCAATCGCTTTGGCAGCACGGCCAATGCGCAGCAGACAGGTGGTCTTGGACAATCGACCCTATTCGGTGCCTCGTCCGCGCAGCCACAAGACCAGCAACAGCAGGCAGGTGGTCCTCTGTCACAGTCAAGCGCAGGCACCTCAGCACACTTCGACCACCTCCTCGAGAGAAGCCGCAAACGTAATGCTGGCGAAAACGGCTTCGGCGGTTTTGGTGAGCTGCCTACATTGCAGCTGGGACTGGGAGACATTGCACGCAAGGTGCGAAATCTTGGTCAAGGGGGACCTTCGGCGAACCAGGCGCAAGATCGTACAGCGCATTATCTGCTCTCCGCTTCGGGCGTGAAGTTGGGCAGTACCCTCCGCGACCTCAACCAATTCTCGACCCAAGCTGGCGTCAGTGCCACAGCACCTGTCTCCAATCTGATGGATACAGATGTTGACAGCTACATCGCAAACCTACACTCACAATCCACCCTGGCCCTGATTCAGGAAGGTCTCGAGCAGTCTAAACGTGACTTCGATGCTTTCCTAGAAGATAATGTTCAGATCGAGTGGGACAAGCAACGGCAGAGAGTTTACGAGCACTTCGGTCTCGGCAGGCAAAGCGAGGAATTGGCGGCCTCTCAAGCTACGTTTGCTGGAGGGGCCACCCGAGGCGCGTTCGGACGGTCTACACGCAAGGGCCGTTCCATGGGTGCCAATTCGGTGAATGGCGCATCGTTTGCCGCTGCGACTGGCCCACCCGTTATTGGATCTGTCATGTCACCCTCCCAGAAGAGCACAATTAAAGGTGACTCTTCAGACAAGTCGATACTGGCTGGGCAGACTGGTTTCGGGGACCGCCACACCCGTGAAAAACAGGAAAAGTTCATGGGAGTCATCAAGAGACTCAACATCAGCAGACAAACAGAGCAGACTTTTCCCATTCTTGAGGAATTTGGAAAGATCGAACAAGACGCAGAGGGCGAAAACTCTGACCATTTTGTCCAAGCTTATCGAGCGCTTTCTTCCATCGTCACCACCGATCCATCGAAACCGGAAACACCCTTGACGCCGAAAGAGCGCTGCTTCCGTGCAGAATACTTGAACGACCAAGCAAACGCATTAGCTAGCGTTCAAAATCGCAAGCGAGTCCTTAACGGCTCTCGCACGTATCTGGAAAAGAAGTTCTTGGAACATGTTCAGGATGTCCTCAAGCGAAACGCTGCGGACGCGCGACCGGGCGGTGAACCTACCATGGTCAGCAAGATCCGTGGCTTTGTTAGGGCCAAGATAGCCCAGAAAGAATTAGGCGCGGAAATCGAACATTTGCAGAAGATTGGTGGTGACAGCGACGACTACCCTTGGGTCGTTCTGTTCTATCTTCTCCGAGGTGGCCTGGTCATGGACGCTGCCGCATATGTTCGCGAAAGGCGGAATTTCTTCCAGAATACCGACAGGAATTTCCAACCTGCAGTGGACCAATATGCACAGAGTCCAGACCGCCGTCTAGAGCCTGACATGCAGCAGAAGATCACCCACGTCCATTCCCAGCGGCAACGCATAGCTCCGTCCAACGATCCTTACCGCATGGCTTGTTATAAGATCATCGGCCGTTGCGAACTGACTCGAAAAAGTCTTGATTCGATCAACCAGGGTATGGAAGACTGGGTATGGCTGCAATTTAATCTTGCACGGGAGAGCAACCGAGCAGAAGAATCCGCCATGGAGGCCTATGGACTTGAGGAGATACGGCAGACGGTTACTGACATTGGCAAACGCCACTTCATGAACGACGATTCCGAAGCCGCTGGCGGACATGGCGTATACTTCTGGCTCGCCATTCTTGCCGGCATGTTTGAGTCAGCGGTCAGCTTTCTTTACCAGCACAACTACATTACTGCGGTGCATTTCGCAATCGCTCTGGACTACTATGGACTCTTGCGAGTCTCAAACTTCAACGAGGCAGGCGTGGAAATTCTTACTTACACTCAACAGCAACGACCCCAGTTCAATTTTGCCTGGGTGGTTGGTCGGTATACTGCCGATTTTAGAGCTGCCAGGGCCGATGCTGCTGCTGAATATTTGATCTTGATCTGTTTGAACTCAGATCTCCCCAGCGGGGCGGGCAAACAGCAAGCCGATGTGTGCCACGAGGCTTTGCGTGAGCTTGTCCTGGAGACACGAGAATTTGCGACGCTTCTTGGAGATGTTAGATCTAACGGACACGCCACTGACGGGCTCATCAAGGACCGCATAAAGCTCATCAAATTGACTGATGACGATGCGCTGGTCAACTCTATCACCAGCCTGGCAGCAAGGAAAGCTGACGAAGCTGGTCGCACCAACGATGCTGTACTGCTCAACCATCTCGCTGAACAGTATGAGAATGTTGTTTCGATCTTGTGCCGTGCCCTTTCCGAGGCTCTCTCTGTCGAGATCGGTCAGACACCGCTGCGTCTTGAACCGTTGAAGCCGCGACTTCCCGCTATGGAGCAACAGCAGGTTCAGGATATGGGCTCGAGTCTGAGTCTACTTGGCACTGACGACCCTGTCGAGCTTACACGCAGGGTGTCGGAGATGTATGACCGCGACCAGCTATGGCACAGGAACATCTCGCAGTCTAGCCGCCAGACTCTGGAGATCTTGTTCATGCTTAACCGGGCGAAGTCTGTGATTGAAGCTCAGCAATATACGCAAGCTCTGGACGTAAGTTACATGGCCTTTCTTGTTTATCCTGTTGAAGACACTGACAATCACCAAAGATCATACAAAGCCTACGCATTCTTCCTCTCGATTCCAAGGGCAGCCTCTCCGACATCCGCGCCTTTGCCAACAACTTTTCGGCCTTCGCTCCAGAGATTGCCCGCAACATTGGCAATGTGTTGCTTTGGTCTATCGGTTGCTGCTCGAAATATCGCGAAGTGCTGCTCAAAGGCACTTACGAGGATCCCACACGGCAAGCTCTGGCAGGGGAATTGGCACAGAAAGCAAAGGATCTCATGGTCTTTGCAGGTCTGATCAGGTACAAGTTGCCTCCGAGGGTGTTTGAGAGATTAGCACGGGAGGGTGGAGACGGTTATTAGATGGAGCTCGAAGAAGGAAGTGTCACACGAAGTCTACACGTTTTGGGCTAGCATGTTGTAGGACAGTCGAACGCACCCTATTGGGAATCGTTTGTAATAGATCATCTTGAGGATTGGTAGTCGATTGATTGTGGGAGGATTGCGGCCGGCGTTCATAGAAGCATCCCTGCTTCGGGAAGCAGTGAGTGGCGCAATACATTGCGTGTGAAAGTCTTGACTACCTCTGTATAGTTGATCTCCTTGAAAGCGTTAAAGAGCACCTGTCATCATGGAACTTTTTCGAAAAGCAACCGCATTAAGTAGCTTTCCACCTGTTTCTGATATCAAAAATCTGTAGGTTTGTACGGCATGCTCTGTGTTAGAGAACCCACATCGTCAAGGTACTCAAAAGCTGCATCAAGACCTCTTCATGCTTACTGCAAGGGTGTGAGGGCAGAGACCTCAAGCCTCGTTCTAGGGCCTCACTACGCCTTTTTGGGCATTTAGCGCCAACGAGGCCTCCAACCCTAGGCAGCAATGCTCATTAATAAACCACCTCTCCCACGTATAGTTGGCGAGATTCCGGAGCGAGATATATATACTGGCAATTTACATACACATAGCTTTCAGGCATGTTCTGATCTGTTTCGCTTGCAAGCAGCGCAGCGCAAACAACTTTGAACCGTCAATTGCCCTCAGCCATTTGTGTTTACAACCTGTGGACAACAACCATGCTAGACCTAGCAACTCGTCGAAAGATTTGCGAGGAAACAGTATCGCGGTCCGTATCCATTGCAAAGGAGACGCCCGGGGTGTCCCTCAGAAGTGTCTTCATACCCTCCCAGCTACCACCTCTCGACAAGGAACATCCTTCTTTTCCAGCTCTGACCCTCAAACCGGTGGAGATACACAATAGCGACGCCTTCGAACTCGCTCGCACACTAGGTCCGAGCAAAGGAAAAGTCGGTGTCTTGAACCTAGCAAGCAATGCAGAACCCGGCGGCGGTTGGCGATATACGCTCTCAAAAACTCAAGAAGAAGCTCTCTGCTACTCGTCGACCCTTTATCTAACTCTGAGACCCGAATGGTATCCTTGGTCAAACACAGGTCCGGATTCAATTGCCGGTATCTTCTCGCCCGATATCGTTGTTTTCAGGGATACAATCGACAATGAGCTCGTCGAGCTGCCTACCGCTGGAAGACACATAGTGTCTATAATGACAGTTGCAGCACCCTGCCTTCCGCGGCTTACGGAAGATTCAGCACAATTTGCGAACGCGAGCGACCTTGAGAATCTTCGCGAGAAGATTCTTCTAACGCTGAGGATGGCAGCTAAAAATGGGGTGACTAGTCTGGTGCTCGGAGCCATGGGATGTGGTGCATACAATTGTCCGCCTCAAGTTGTGGCACAGGAGATGAAGAATGCAATCGAGATGGATGAGTTCAAGGGCTGGTTCGAAGAAGTGCCCTTTGCAGTCTTTGCCGCTGGGCCTTCGGGTATGCGCAATTATGACGTGTTCAAGAAGGTTTTCCAGAGAGCGTGAGTCTCCTATGACCTAACGCTCTTCTAGTACGAACAGTTTTTTGAAATCCTATTTATTTGCTTGTCGTGCTCCTGAGTCCTCGCCGTTCACACCATATTCCTCCCAAACCCTGAGCACAACTCACAGCACTTGTTCGGCTTACGTCGTGCACTAGAAGATGTTTGTGCCAATACTTTCTTTAGAAACTTTCGACTTGCATTGGTGCGACTCTCTTTTGCCTTTGGTACCCTTTTAGGTCCTCCGACCCCATTCCGTGAACAGTGCGTCAATCACTGTTGCACAGAATTAGCGACAGCGACATAGATACTTTGCTTCAAAGCTTTGTTACAGGCTTCGAGTACCAAACCAAGGTACTGCTCAGGTACAACATTACGGGTGCCTGTGGCGCCAGCTTCTTCGACAGCGGAAGCATCTATCTCTCTAATGCCGAGATAGGAGACGTAAATGCATGCAAACCCGGATCAGCATAAGAAATACCATTGGCGATACACACAGATTCACTCAAAAGCGTAAATTCTTGTTCGGAGTATTGTTAACGGTGCTAGGCATGATTAGAGTTCAGAAACTTTGTGCAATCATGGTAACGGCCATGGCAAATGGTACGTCTTGCAGTCAGTTGACGTTCTGCGTTATCTGAAGAGCACATCTGGCGCCGAGGCCATAGAGAATCCTATATCCAACCTATATACGCGGGTTTGAGAATCGATTGATGTACGTCGAATGTGAGTATTGGTGCGTTGTAGCATCTGAGACGCATCAACTTCGTTCGTGGGCATTAGGTACCCGTTTTCCCGTTTCCCTGTTCGTTCCCAATAGCGTCATAAGGCCACCGAAATGCTCACGAGCACCCCGCACATATGAAAAAACGGTACGAAGATCTCAATTCTGGTGATAAGACTACCGCAAACCATGATGACGACTACGTTCGAAAGTATCAAAGAGATAGTGGGGACCCGGATTCCGAAAGAGACTGAGCGTGGACTACCCGAAATCAGAGAGGCAAGAAGTAGATGAAAAGAGAGAACCCAGAGAATAGACAGAAAGCGAAGACGCTGACAGATCGCATGGTCGTTGCAAGGCTTTGCGAGGAGGCACTAGGATTGCGTTAAATCAACACGTCAGACTTATATTGCAAAATCACCTGTGCCTTCATCGCCCATGTATGCTTGAGAAACGACGAAGGTAATTAGTGTGACGCTAAACACAACTCGCAGTGCAATTCTGGTGCTTTTCATAGGTTTTGCGACCACCTTGCCATGGAAGAATTTATGGAAAAGTTGGGTTCTAGAAGATATACCTTAGGTTATAACTATCGGCCTATAGGTGGTTAGTTAATCCACTTTAGTAGAGGTGTTATGGTAACGGAGATCTATTAACTAAATATAAATCACTAATTAATTATAACGAGAATATATCCTAATATAGAGTACTATTCTATATATTATTCTATAGTAAGATGTCCGCAAAACTTATATAAATATTAATAATATGGCTAGCACTTATTAGGATCTAGACCTAAGTAAGGGTTAGGACCTTATTTTATATTATAATAATACTTACTATTAGCTTACCTAGGTAGAGTATACGTTTTAACTATACTACTAGGTGCTAAAAGGATATTATGTAACTAATAGTTAATAAGTAATAGTTAATGAGTAATAGTTAATAAGTAATAGTTAATAAGTAATAGTTAATAAGTAATAGTTAATAAGTAATAGTTAATAAGTAATAGTTAATAAGTAATAGTTAATAAGTAATAGTTAATAAGTAATAGTTAATAAGTAATAGTTAATAAGTAATAGTTAATAAGTAATAGTTAATAAGTAATAGTTAATAAGTAATAGTTAACTACTACCTAAGCTAAGTATATAGGAGCGTAAGTATAAAGACCTTATACTTATATTTAACCTAAGTTTTAATCTATTATTTAGATTTACTTAGGTCTCTTTATTTTTATTATACTTTATAAGATACTTTTATATTAATAAGAACCCCTTATTACTTCCCTCTATAAGTCTTACCTAAAAACTAACCTTAACCTATTTAGGATTAGCTACCCTTCTTAGACTTAATATTTTAAATACCCTTAATATAACTATAAGAACTCCTACTTCTTCTATAGCTTTAGATAATATTACTATTACTCTAATAAGTAACTCTAAGAGTAAAGTGTATAAACCTAATTTATATTATAGTAATAAAAAGTATACTAATATCTAGCTTCTTTAGTTAGACCTCTATTTCTTTAAACTTAATAAATAACCTAAAGATAAATAAAAGGTTATCTTTATAGCTATTTATATATAAGGTAATACTAGAGAATAGATTTAACCCTATATAACTAAGTATCTAGAAATAGACCATAATAATAAAGATAAGGAATATATAGATAACTATATAGATATAGTTAATATTATTAAAGATTATACTAACTTTAAGAAATACCTTAAATAGATATTTAGAATTACTAATAAGGTACCTATTATAGTATAAAATATCTAAACTATCCTATAATAATAATTAGTAGCTAAATATATAGGAGAGTTTTATAAGAATGCTATATAACTTAACTAGAATAATAAGTTACTAATAATAATATATAAATAAAGTCTTAAAAACCTCTATAAGAAGAACTTCTACGCAGTAGAGGAATTATTAAAACTCTTAATAAATTATATAATAAATTAATTAGAATTAATAGAGAATAGTTTATACTATAATAGGAATTTTAATGTAACCTAAAGAATATTAGTTTTAGATAACTAGTACCTATAGTCTATAGGGTGCTACTAAAAGGACCTTAATATATATTATAAGACTCCTATAAATACTAGCTAATAGAAGATATCTAGTTTAACTACTTAGGTAAAAGAAAAGGAAAAGAACTAGGCTTTTATAAGCCTAATATATATATCTTAGATAGAACCTAATAATAGAGGACTAAGACTTATATATACTTTATATATAGTAAACTAGGCCATATTACTAGAAACTATAGATCTAAGAATAAGGTTATTAGATAGATAAACGTACTTACTATCCTAATAAAGGAGATTAAGGATAAAGAATAGACTATTATAAATACTATTAGTAACCTTATACTTAATAATAAATCTAGATTAGAACTATTAACTAATTTATAACTCTATAAGGATATAGAGGAAAAATAATCTAAAGAAAAGAATAAGGAAGTTAAATAAATACTAATACCTTACCTATAGTTTAAAGGTAAAGAAGTAATCTTTACTAATAGAATAAATATATAGGAATACTTAGATAAACTACTAATCTAACTATAAAAAGGAGATATATTATTATTATTTATAATAATCTTACTACTATTCTCTATACCACTAGAAGCTTATAACCAACGCCGATTAGAAATTATTATAAAAGAAGATAGATAATAGGTAGATTATAGATATATATAATAAGACTCTAACTAAGATTTCTATAATAAGGACCTAGATTATTCTTAGAAGTACTACCTAGACTACTAAAACCTATAGTACTTAAATATCTAATAGACTATATATAAATATAACTAGTACCTAATCTACTATAGAGCTAGGGAAATATATAAAAGTAAATAACTATAGTATAAGTAATAATACTACTAGTAATAGTATAATTACCTAATTAATAAATATAATAAACATTTATAGAATAAGTAAGAAAGACTATACTTTTTAAGTATAAATAATATATAAAATATAGTAACTAGTATACTCTATAATAGAATATATATCTAAAATAGATAGTAAACTTACTTAAATATTAACTATAGTAGGTACTAGAATAATAAACGTGTCTATAGATTTAGTAAGAACCCTAACTAACTAAGGATAGTTATTAATATTTATATAGAAATAAGTATAGTATAGAAAGGTAAAACTTCTAAAAAGAAACTATAGTAGAAAGATAACTATAGTAGGAGAAGAGAAGGGTAGAAATAGAAAGAATAATAATAAGAGAATATAGACTACCTAGCTCCTAAAATAAGTAGTTCTTTTTTAGACTAAATCCTAGCCTAAGAGGCCTAAGAAACCCTTAAAAACTAATAAATAGATAAGAAGACGCTATTAGAGAATTAAATGCTATTAATAATAAGGTATTAATTAAGCTACTAGTTTAGCTTAATAAAATATAAATTAAGGCACTACTAGATTTAGGTATATTAGAAAACTTTATATTCTAAGAAGTAGTACTATAAGTAGAACTCTAGCTAATACTTAAGAATAAAGCCTATCCTATCTATATTATAAATAGAAGTTAAATACTAAAAACGCTATATATTACTTATAAAGTTACTACTATACTTAGATCTATAGATATAGGGAGACAATTACGCTTAATATACTAGATAGATCTAGGTATAATATTATATTAGGATTACCCTAGTTAAGGAAGTATAATCTATATATTAATTAGGGTTTAAGAACGCTATCCTTAGAATACTATAAATATATATTATAAGCTAAACCTACATAATAATAGAGATTAATAGTAGATAAGAGTACTATTAATAATATAGACTTATAATAGAGAGTTAAAAAATAGAAACTACTCTTAGCTAATACTAGTAGAAACTACTAGGTTATAAAGTATAAAAAGAAGAAAGAAAGTATACCCTTAGAAGTACTAAGAGAGTATAAAGTATAGATATATATATTTATAAAAAAGGAAGAAAAAGTAAACCTACTAGAATATTAACCCTAGGATTATATAATTAACCTAGAAGAAGGGAAAATGCTACCCTTTAGACTACTATATAATAAGATAGGAGAAGAACTCTATAAAGAATATAAATTTATTAAGATAAACCTAGTAAAAGAATATATTAGACTATTAAAGTTACTAGTAGTAAGTCCTTTTATATTTATTAAAAAGAAAGATAGATTAGATAGACTATATATTAACTACTAAGTAATTAATAATATAATAATTAAGAATAGATACCTCTTACCTAATATCTTAGAGCTTAGAGATAGACTCTTATA